TGTTGGAAAAAGTCACCGCGGTGTCAAGGGCCCCTTGCTCCATCCAAGGGGAGGTTGCAGTTGCAGAGTCCCTTGCAAACCTGCTGGCGCCCAGGTGGCATTGCCATGGTTTCACACTTGCTAATGTTTGCCCTTTCTCAGAAATTCATTGCCCAGATCCGGACATCAAGAATGGAAGGCCCGTACGTGTGTGGGAAGATAAAGAAGATTATGTGTATGGAGACAGGCTGGAAATTACATGTAATGATGGCTATGCTTTCAAGGGTCGTAGAAATAACGTCATGCTTCAGTGTACCAGTGATGGTAGATGGGATCCAGCAGTATCAGAGTGCACTCCAGGTAGGCGAGAGTTGGTGAAGCATCTTATCTTGGTGACTACTTATTTCTAACTGCAAAGTTTTGGATTGCTCTGTACAGCAGCGTAGTTGTTTGCTGACATTCACAGAAAAATCTACATGTGGCCTTAGGTGATAGTAGCAGCAGGATACCCTGCCATGTATCCCCAGATTTAGTCCTCCTGTGTTAACCTGGAGAATAGGCAGCAAAAAATCCAGGTGGATCATTATATTGCCTGGGGATTGCTGTGGGAAGAGTATGGGGTTTTGGCAGGGGGCTGAGCTGGTGTCTGGGGAGGTGGGATGGGAAGGGTGGGGGTGTCGGTGGCTATTAGAGGCTTAGGAGGTTTCCAAGAAGCCTGGCAGACATTTACCCAGCTGGGAGGGGATGTGGTTTGTGCTTTGGACAGCAACAGGGCTGGTTTGCTGACATGAGGCCTGGGAGCAGAGGATGTTCTCAACGCATTTCCCCTCTCAGAAGAAAATGCAACAGCGTAAATAACTGACACTGCTGAAACTAATAACCTAGCAGTGGGGTTATACACAGCAATATCAGCAAGCTGCTGGAAGTAGCCTGAGCCCAAAAGCTCAGGAAAACCCTGCTAGGATGAAAGAGCCTGCTCCCCCTCACAGGGCAGCCAGCGTTAGGGCACGGCTGATTCCTTGTCCTGGCCCTGGCGCTGCCCGTGAGGTGCTCAGCAACCTCGCGAGCGCAGCTCGGTGGGAAGGCAGGGGCTGCAGTCCCTGGGACGGTAACAGTGCGTTGGTGCCGGCAGCCCCGAGGGGAGGCTCAGTCGGGCACGGACCCAGCTCTGCAGCATGTGCCTTTGCCAGCAGCCTCAGAAAAACCTGATTGGAGAAGCAGAAACTCCTTTAGAGTTACAAAGAAAGAGCCGAGACCTGCATCTGGATGATAGTCACCTTTTTTCCCAGGGTTCAGATGTTCTTCATAACCGACTTGTCCATAGAAAGCATCTCCACTGGAGTTCTTTCTGAGAATATTTGACATTATTTTCCATTGTTTCTAGAACCTCATTGCCCAAACCCAGATACTCCTCATGGAAAAGTGGTTTATAAAAGCAAAGATGACTACAGAGTTGGGACCTGGCTGAGGCTGGCGTGTGATTCGGGCTATGTCCTCAGGGGCCAGGACTTGACCGAGTGTAAGGCTGATATGACCTGGTCTCCCCAGTTACCATTTTGTGATAAAGGTACGTGTAACGCAGTGCTGAGAAGAAATCTTGTGCATTGGTATTCAGAACCGGCGGTCAGTAGGTGACCTGCCTTCAGCATCTGCCTCTGGGCAGCAGGACGATGATCATGGCTCATGGGCTGAGAGCTTTGAGGTGTCCTCTCCCTGGAGAGGTGACCCAGGTGGGACCTCAGCGAGGAGCCGGACCCTTGAGCTGGTGTAAGAGGCAAGAAGCCAAGCAACAACTTCATGTGAATTTGCCGCCCTACAAACATGTGAAGTTAACCCTTGTGCTGATTTCACAGAAGCGATTTTGATTCTCGCCTGAATAGAATAATTCTGTGTTTCTTTTCCTATCAATTCCTTTTCTTCCACAGTCTGTGGCCCCCCTCCGCAAATCACCAGTGGGCAGCACTCTGGCTTGGGACAGGAAGAGTTCCCCTACGGCGCAAAGGTGACGTACAGCTGTGTGGAGGGGCTGTCCCTCATCGGGGATGAATCCATCTACTGCACCTCCGACGATGGGGTGAACCTGACGTGGAGCGGACCTGCCCCGGAGTGCAGGGGTGAGTCGTTTCTCCTGTACGGTATCAGACTGAAGCCAGGACCTGGGTAAAATGCTGGGGCTGAGCCCCAGCCCTGTTACATGCCTTGCTCTGGGAGCTCCAAACCCAGAGCAGATTAATGACAATGCAGCTCCTCCGGCTCCCGTGCAAGTGCCTCAGCATCACGAGCTGTTCAGCAACACCAGGGACTGGTAGGGTCTCCTTGGGGGCTGCTTCAGGCAGCTGAGAGTCAATTCTTGTGGTTTATACTCAAACTGATGCAGAGGGCATCAGGGAGAGCAGCTCTGACCTGGTTCCCCGTTGTCCCTGGGGAAGGGCAGCGGCCAAAGCCCCCGCTCCCAGCTCCGCTCTCTCCCCGCAGTGGTTCGGTGCCCCAAGCCCGCAGTCGAGAGGGGGAGGATGACCCCGCAGAGGTTCACCTTTCCCTACGGGGCGGCCGTGCGGTTCTCCTGTGACGAAGGCTTCGTGCTGCGGGGCGATGCCGAGAGCCGGTGCCTGGCCGACAGCGCCTGGCACCCTCCCCTGCCCACTTGCCAGCCAGGTGGGTACCAGACCCGGGCGGATGCCCCGCTGCTGGTTTGCACAGGCCAGGGGTGCTGCTCCTTTGAATCACCACCACCAAGTGGAATTTGCAGGTCGTTTTCTCCTCTATCTCCTCCTTTTATATTATTTTCTGGCATGCATTTTCCTTTCAGTCCAGTGTCCCCGACCCTCGAGGCAGGAGGACCTAGCAATTTATTCTCCTAAACTATGGTACAACGTGAATGAAAGCCTGTCATTCTACTGCAAACATGATGGCCAACGATCAGTAAATTCAGAAATTACCTGCTCAGCTAAGGGCACTTGGATACCACCGCCCACGTGTGTAAGTACCAGCATCTGCCCAGGCTTTGTCCGTATCTTGCCCCGTTCATAGCCTGGAGTAGCACTGGGTTGATTTGCTGAATGTGGTTCCTTCGTTACAGAAGGTCTGGCCTGACGGGGGGGCTGCAGAGGAAGGGGATGCTCAGCACGTAGGTCCCTGCAGCAGGGTCTCATGCTCTCTGTCTTTGTTTTGGTTCTTTTAAAGAAAAAGCATGATACATGTGAGAAGATTCTTCAAATTAAGGAAGATTTTCAGTGTGGAGTTCCTCTGACAGAACTGAAAACTCTGCTGGAAGTCCGGAAGCTGTACCTGGAAGTCCAGAAACTTGAAAAGGAGCTAAAATCCACAGCATATGGCTGACTGTCATCACTGGTATCATAAGAACCATCCTCTTTACATGTTGAATAATCATGCTGACTGAGGATTTTTTTATAACTTCATAATTTGTGCTAATACTTAAGTAGCCATAACAAAATTTACCAATCAGTCAAGGAACCGATTTGGTCGTATGGGGAGTCAGAAAGCGACTTCTTCTGGTCCATTCTGTTGGAGCTCACTGGGTTAGGTTTGCGCATCACTTTCTACATTCTAAAGCTTTACATGTAGATATGTTTGTTACACTGACAAGGGTGCAGTTAGAAAGGAACTGAGTAGAAAGCAAATTGCTGGAGCTGAGCAGACACTGTACAGACAGGCATGAACATGGGAAGAGCCACCAACCCACGCTCACCCCCTAACTGCTGCACTACTTCAGCTGCAATCCAGTACAGCCCATTGCTACTCTGTTCTTATATGTTGCGTTCATTATTGTGAACAAGCACTTAAATGCCTCATTAGCTGTGACCTTCAGAACAGGAACAATGACTAAAACTTCAAAGCCTGTTTTTTAGCAAAACAGAAGTGCCAGGTTTTCTTCCCAAGTGGGACAGAGGTATCTGAGGCCATGGCAGTACCATTTGCTGATCTTTGTGTGTGCAGCAAGAGCAGTTGTCGGAAATAAAAGTGCAAAGGAAGAAATGGCTGAATTTTTTTTCTGCAACTTCCAGTAAGGGGAAGCACTCTGTTAGCACATGTCTTGTGATCAGACTAGTACTTCTCACTACGAGATTATAATAAAGCTGCAATTGTAATGACAGCTGTATCTGGCTTTTCATAATCCTCTCCTAGCTACAGTAAAGGAAAGAGGTGCTTTAATAATCATTGCTTGATTAAGCACGGAGGGCCACTATTCCCTGAGCGCAGGGCAGCAGTGTGCGGGGGGCGTTTGCACAGTGTCCCTGGGGTAAAGAGGCAAAGTGGGTGCACAGCACTGCCCAGCGCACCCCTCAGCAGCTCCCGGCGCCTCAGAAATGAGGCCAGGCTGCTGCAGAACTGTTCTAACTGTAAAATACCTTTATTCCCACTGTCCCCAGCGGGGAAGAAGGCAGAGCAGCGTTCCCTCCCACGGCACATCCTCGCTGGAGGGCTCGGGGAGGGCAGCGCTGGCTTTGGGCAGGTCAGAAGGGCTGGGGGGTGGCAGGGGTGGTGTGGCTCGCCTGGCCTGTCCCCAACTTCCCACAGCTGGTTCCCCTTTGCCGGCCGGCTCACGGCAAGGAGAGGCTCTCGCCTTCCCGCGGCGCTGACCCGGCAGCTCCCCGCACCATGCCGGCGTTTCTGCTCCTGGCAGGGATGGTGCTTGTGCTGCAGCTGGCTGGGAGTCTCGGTGAGTGTCGCTTCCCTGCTCCTTTTCTTGTCTTCTGTGGCTCAACTTTGCTTACAGATCAAACGTGGAAGAATCAGGTTAGTAAAATTCAGCGGGAAACCTTCCCCTGGCTGCGCTCGCTGCTAACGGCTTTCTGTGCCTGATGTTCTTGTAAGGATGGTCTGAGCGCGGCGGCTGCTGCTAATTGGCCCTTTCTCCTCGTTAGCTGCACCTCTAGATGCTTGCAAAGAGCCACCCAAAATTCCTAATGCTTTCCGAAAGTGTTACATTGCGATACGGATCCCCCCTGGGACTGGGGTTAAGTGCGGCTGGCTCAGAGGCTACGAGCTTGCGCTGGTCCTGAGCTTTTCCATGTCACTTGTCTGCAGAACTTCTCCTGGTCTGGAGTTCAGAACTTGTGTCACAGGGAGTAGTATGTCACCCTTTGCCTTGATCGTCCCTGCGGTAGCTGAGAAATCGTTCCCGGGGTGGAAGATGTCCTTAAGGGCTGGGGGCCAACATAAGGATGGTTGTAACATGGGGAGAGTCAATTAGACAGGTAATATTTTTTATCATCTCATTAAAATGGTCATAGCAATCTGAGTGGCGTCGGGTTGAAGCTCAAGCCCTGAAGACCTGCTGAAGGTAGATGGTGAACTGTCATGCTTCCTGCAAGCTGCCTTCAGCAGAGAAGTGGGGTCTGCTGACTAATGAGAGTCTCCAAGAAGGGGAATAACTCGTAGTTTCTGCCTGGAAGTTGACAGTTCCTTTAAAAACAGGCTTTTTGAGAAACTTCTCCCCTGTGCTTAGCAGCCCCAGCGCCTCCCTTCAGAGGCACCTGCTGCCCCCCAGCTGCCAGCGCCGCCTTTACACCTTTTTTTTTATTTACTTATTTTAAGTTCACGGTGCTTCTCAGCCTGTTTTCCGAATCCAAACATTATGAAGTGGGTAACGAAACCTCAGCTGGGGCCGGGGGAAGAACACATATGAGTACGGAGATGCTCTTTCCATGGCTGTTGATATCAAAGGCAGCATCGCCAGCACTGCCTGGCACGGCGGTGGGTGTGATTTTATGATTTTAGCAGATGCACTTGCCAGCACCTATTGTAAGGCATGAGGAAATCCCAGTTACAGCTGCCTTTAGTTTTCTCTGTTATTACAGTTTATGACCAGCCCCAGAATATTTCTCATGAGAGATACGGTAGATGGACAAAGAAAAATTTTATTGGGACATCAGTGATGTACGTATGTGCTAGAGGTTATGCAGTTGTTGGAGAGCCTCTTGTTTCTTGTAAAGCTGGAGGGGGGCTGCCGGCACCCTGGAGTCACCCCCAGCCCTGAGTGTACTGGTGAGTCAAACTGCGACCTGCCGGCGCGCGGGAAAGGGCAGGAGCAGCATTTGATTGTGTGCAGTGGAAATGCAGCAGGGCTGGAGCCCTGCTGACGGCGGGTGCTCGAGCACACTCATTAACCCTTGATCCCTCTGCCTCAATTGTTAAACTGATCTGTTAAACTGATTTGTCTTCTCTTACCAGACAGAGGTGCAGTGGCAGTTGGTCACCGTAGCCGTATTCAGTAAGAATGACCCTGACAACCCCTGTTTTTTGGTGATCCACAGAGGCTCAGTGTCCCGTCCCAGATATCACACACGGACAGCTGAAACCTGCACAGAACCTCACCTACGGCAGCACCGCCACGCTCGAGTGCGATGCCGGGTACATCCCCGTGGGTGCCACCACCACCGTGCGGTGCCTGAGCGCGGGCAGATGGCACCCGCGGGTGCCCGCCTGCACCCTCGGTACGCACTGATCTCTCTCCTCCTTACCTCGTCTCCCACTTGCCGGCTTGTATTTCACTAAAAGCGTGTGCAGGGTTTGCAGGAGAGGGGTTGGAGGATGGGAACCCCAGCGAGCTGCACCATCTGACGTTCGGTGGCCGGGATCGCTGTTGTCCCTTGTGTCTTTCTGGGGTTTCTACCCTTGCCCGAGGGACAGGCTGGGCTCCCCCAAAGGCAGAGCTCAGTTTCGAACCCAGCAGGTCCCGGGGGGAGACCTCCCAGCTCTGAGGGTCCGTGTTGTCCCCTGCTCTGGCACCAGGTCACTGTCCCTACCCTCCCGCTGTTGACCACGCAGACCGAAACCCTCAGCGCAGCTTTCCAGTCGGGGCAACCGTGACCTACTTCTGCAGAGCCGGATACACTTTGCTCCCTGAAGTATCTCCGATAACTACTTGCCTTAAAAATTTCACATGGTCCGTAATCCCAAAGCTTTGCCAGAGTAAGTATGCTATTTCCTTCACTTTGCCAGCAAAACATCAATTCAGTAGCGTGGAAATCGCACCGTTTTCAAAATACCTTCTAGTGCTGCTGTGCCATAAGGACTTTATTGAGCAGTGCTTTGGCTCTCACTAATAATAATTTTGCTATTCAAAGGACAGCATGGCTGAAAAGATATAGCTACAACTCACACTGATTATTTAGCTTTTCAAACAATGATACAGTGATGCAGCTACTAACATATCCCTTCAGCACAATTTATAGCTAATCACAGGGCTCAGAACATTCTGCATTCCAAAAGAAATGGTTGTTATCACATAATTACTGTCCCTGAACATGCCAGGTCTGGTTAGAGATGTCTGTCAGCATTAACAGGCTGCCTGGTAGGTTTTCTGGGTCAACAAGCCAAGACAGTGGGTAAACACCCCCGCGTGAATGTCTCCTGCTCTCCCCTCTTGCGCCAAACCACAGAAGCTCTTTCTGCTGCTGGTGTCCCTCAGAGGTGCAGTGTCCCAGCCCGGTTATCCACCACGGGAGAGAGGTCAGCCCCAGGAAAGCTGAATACACCTTTGGGCACCAGGTGGAATTCCAGTGCGAGCCCGGCTACGTGCTGAGGGGCAGCCAGAGAGGCCAGTGCTGGTCTGACGGGACGTGGAGACCCCCCGCGCCGTACTGCGACAAGGGTGAGCGGGAGCGCGGCGGCTGCCGGGAATTGCATCTCAGCAGCCGGGAGGAACAGCGGTGAGAAAGTCCCGTGACCCGAGCATCCCTTCTCGGAGAAGGCGGTGTTAGGAGAAGGGATCCAAGTCGCAGCATTAAATCACCTATCAGAACTGTAATCGATTGAATGTGTTGAGTAATGGGACTTGCAGCCATTTTCTCACCGGACGGTTTAAGGGGGTTGTGACACTCGCAATTCCCTGACCCTGTTTATGAGCAGGATCACTTCTCATGGGAAAGAGGAGGGGATACGGGAAGGTCAGCTGAAGGGGAGGGGATGGGGACACGTGCTGTGGGACTGGGGCTGTGCTGGTGAAGGGGCTGTTAGCTGGGTCAGTCTGGGAACACTGGTAGAGCCAGGGCCAAAGCCCGCAGGAAGCGAGGAGGACTTTGAGGAGAACAGTCCTGCATATAAACATTGATAACTGGCTTCTGATATTACTTCCCTGCACTTCTGTCTCCCTGACCGAATGATGAAAATCTTAACTTTTGCTTGCTTTATTGCCTCCGTAGTTTGTGGTCCCCCTCCAACAATCGCCAGCGGGCAGCACTCTGCCTTGGGAGCGGAGCAGTTCCCCTACGGCTTGGAAGTAAAATACAGCTGTGTGGAGGGGCTGTCCCTCATCGGGGATGAATCCATCTACTGCACCTCCGACGATGGGGTGAACCTGACGTGGAGCGGACCTGCCCCGGAGTGCAGGGGTGAGTCGTTTGTCCCAATGGGATCAGACTGAAGCCGGGACCTGGGTGCAATATTAGCGCTCAGCACAACAGGATTTAAAGCGAGCAGGGCTGCCGGGAGATCCCGCTTCCTTTGCAGGCTGCTTCACAGGCTCGACAGCCCCGGGCTGGAGATGATCCATGTGGAAATAGGAGACTCCGGTTGTCCTACACTGATGGCCATCCTGCAGTCAGGAGGAGCGGCTCTGTCCCTCCTGACCTGGTTCCCCGTTGTCCCTGGGGAAGGGCAGCGGCCAAAGCCCCCGCTCCCAGCTCCGCTCTCTCCCCGCAGTGGTTCGGTGCCCCAAGCCCGCAGTCGAGAGGGGGAGGATGACCCCGCAGAGGTTCACCTTTCCCTACGGGGCGGCCGTGCGGTTCTCCTGTGACGAAGGCTTCGTGCTGCGGGGCGATGCCGAGAGCCGGTGCCTGGCCGACAGCGCCTGGCACCCTCCCCTGCCCACTTGCCAGCCAGGTGGGTACCAGACCCGGGAGCCGAGCCCGCAGCCCCCACGACGGTGCAGAGAGGTTGGGGTGCAGCACTGAGTAGCTGTCTCTATCCTCGGGGCTCCCCTAGCACCTTCCCCTTTTTGCAGAAGAAACAAATTTCCCAAAGCTGCTGCTTACCAGGCAATAGCTGAATTTTTCTGGACAATCCTCTATAAAGGAGGTCAGGAGACACCATCGTTATTGACTTTCTCTTCAGTGCATGTTCTTACTGACAAACGTCAGTCTGCAGACCCTTGCACGGGGATGCCCTAACTGAGACACTGTCAGAAAACAGCAAATGCGTGACACCTCTCAGGGGCTGTTCTGACCTTCACCCTCCCCTCTTGAAGGGCCTGGGGAAGAAACTTTGCTTTAATGGTTGGTTTCACATCTCCACAGATTTCAGTTCACCTGCACCGGCTCAGTCTTCACAAACTTTGTAGGTTTTCTCTACCTACGTAATGATGACCCTCTCGCTGAGCTGCCTTCTGCTGTGGGTTTTCCTTTCAGTTCTGTGTCCACAACCACAAGTGGCCAATGGAAGGCTGAAAAGCACTTTGGATGGCAAAATGTGGTACCAAACAAATGCAACCGTTACTTTTGAATGTCTTCATGGATACCACTTTGCAGACGATGGAGACATGTCTTTAGAAGGCTCTTGGACAGCCACGTGCTTGCCTGATGGCAGCTGGACACCGTTGCCCAAGTGTGTAAGTACCTTAGTCTGGCTGAGTTCCCGGATGGATGCTGCCTGACTTCTAATACAAAAAATAACTGCTTGAACTTCTTAAAAGCTTTTGCTTTCTAGTACCAGTGAGGGATGGTCTGTGTCGGGGCAGTGCACGGCGAATGGGACAGTTCAGGCTCAGAGCTGAGGACTGGGTGGCTCTCCATGTGCTGCAGTGCAATCTTACATGATTTTTCTGGCTTTTGTTTCTTTTGTTTCACTTTTTAACAGAGGAAAGAAGGTGATTCTGATGTATGCGAAGAGGTTGATTATATCAAAACAGCCTTTGGATGCGGTGTGCCTATAGCAGAAATGAAAACTCTACTGGAAATACAAAAACTGTTTCTGGAGATTAAAAAACTAAAGGTGGAGCTAGGAAACTTGAATGAGTGAGTCCTGTAACACACTGCAACCATCACTTTTCCTTTGGTGAACATGCAGTTTCTGTAGTCACAGTATCTATAAGAAGGCTCTCGGTGATTTATGGTTTATGCCTGAATACCTACAGGCAGAGATATAATAACCAATGTATGGGAGATTGCTTTTGTCGTGCTAGAGCATAGAGGGATTTTTGCTCTTTTCCTTAAATCTGACAAGCTTGATTTGCTATTTAACAAATGTGTTGTTGCACATTTTACATTGGCATAGTAAAATTAAATCGAGCTTCTTTGAGTCACCGCATAACCTGTGCCAAGCCGAGAGAAGGGGGACTGAAGTCCACAGAAGGAAAATTCTAGCTGAGATGAGAGTCGGTGGTTCTCGCTGAAGGTGTTTCTGCCGTAATCTTCCAGCCGGCGATTTGCGCACACGCCACACCCTCTGCCCATACCGATCTCAGCCCGTCATAGCATTAGCATGCTTCTACCTAGAAATAGTAGCGAAGCCAGCATTTAACTGCGTGATTTCCTGTTAATTTAGCTCATGATTTCTGGCCATCTAGCTAAGGGCAGTTACATATCAGGAAGTGAATTTATAAAGGCTTCTATTTGTTATCACTGGATTTAAAAAAAAGCAACAGGTTTCTTGCCCAGCACTGTACTGAACAGATATTCGTGTTGGTGTCATCTTCCACATCCCTATTTCTGGCAAGCAAACGCTAAGAATAGATGTTGTGTGTTTAAGTGTAGAGTATCAGACAGCAAAGATTGTTCTTACCACGCAATAAACAATGATCAGATTATGTCGCTCTGTGGGGCAGCGATTACTCCTTCCCTGCAAGATTACAATAAAGGTGCAGGTGGAACCATGGGTGTCTTGTAATCTGTCATGGTGTCTGTAAATTAGGCAAATTCCCAGTGTGGTCCAGTGGTGGTTCTGATTTAGAGCTGAGCCCTGGTGGGTCCTCGGGGCAGTTGGGGAGCTGCAGCGGGCACCCCCGGGGCTGAGGACGCTGTGCAGCACAGCACCGTGCTGCTGCCTGGGCTCGGTGGGAGAATGGGGAGCATTCATCCACCTTTGCAGCAGTATATCATTGCCAGATGCACGCTTTCATGAGTTATGAGAGTTGCTTTAAATGTTACTAGAACCTAAAGCACAACACCCAGGGAAGGGATGGTGTCTCCCATATTTACACAGCTTTGATAATGCAGCCTGTGCTTCACCGTGTCCTGGTGAGATCTGCAACGAGAGGCACCCTCAGACCCACTCCAGTTGTCCCTGTGCCACAAGGAGAGCAGGGCTGCACCCTCCGGGTGTGACACCTCTCTCCCCTCCACCTTGAGCTCACCTGGGACTGCAAACAGAAAGTGTCTTTTCTCTCTGTGTGAGGCTCAAACCCCATAAGCATGAAGAAGAACTGGGTGTTACATCCCGTGTGTATCTAAGAGTGTGTTTGAGTAGTCCTGACTGATGTCAGACAGGATATTTCAGAGTGTTAGTCAGTATGCAGATGTATTTGCTCACACCCGTTCCTAATTACAAATGAGTCAGGCAATCAAGAAAAAAAAAAAAAAAAAAAAAAAACCAAAAAAGGATAATGTTTTTTCTCTTTTGTTTCACTAACTCTTCTTATGGAAGATCAGTGCTGCATTACCTGCCAGCAAATGACTAAGTAGGCATTTTCCTACCCTGGATACAGCTTGGGGCTGGGCAGGGGTCTTTTCTGCTCCGGTAGCATTTGGTAAAACTCTGCTTGTCAGCACTCACTGCCAGTCTTGGGTCAAATAAAAGTGTTGAGTTATTCCCCCCATGCCTTATGGTGGGGCAGGAGGACCAGGAGGCTTTACCCGAGCCTGACAGTTGTCCCCCACCCCTGGCTGCTCTCCATGTCGCTGCAGGAGAGTTCAGCTCTGTGGGTGTTCTAGAAATGTTTCCACTGCTCCAGAAGCTTGGGCGAGTCTGCTGCGCTGCATCTCCTCCCAGCTTCAGAAACAGCCCCTTGGAGCCCGCGGTGCTCAGCACAGGAGCACAGAAATTGCTGCAATGAAGTCTGGAGAACCAGGACGGGGGAAGCACCCAGGCACCCTGAGCTGCAGGGCACCCGCCGGGGCACAGGGATCTGGCCACCCCGCGCTGCTCCTGGCCTTGCTGGGGCTCCTCGGCATGCCTGTGGCTCGCAGTGAGTACGGGGGCACGGGGGTGCGTGGGGAGGACCAGCAAGACCTGCCCGGATCCCCCCTTGCTGCTCGGGGGCTGGAGTGGGTGATGCCACCACCCCCAAGCCTGGGGACCCATTGCTTGATGCTCCCACGGGTGCACCCCTGCCCGGTGCCTCTGCCCAGAGGGGAAGCCTGGGCCAGCCCAGCCGCCCTCGCGGGGGGCTGGGGAAGGGGCCAGGGAACGGGGTCCTCACCTGGGGAGGTCTTCTCCTGCCGCAGGTGACTGCGGGCCCCCACCTCGCATGACCCACTCCAGACCGTCCAGCGACGAGCACGCCAGCAGCTTCCCTGTTGGATCCCGGGTGACGTACACGTGCATCGAAGGCGCCATCAAAATCCCCGGGAGATCGGACGTGGTGGAGTGCCTGCCTGGTGCACGCTGGTCAAAACTGCCCGAGCCCTGCGGCCGTAAATACCAGCTTTCTCTAAAATACAGCTCCCTCCGCTGTGTCTAAGCTTGGCTTAAAATTCCCGCCCCTTACGGCGGCTGCTCTGCAATGGCACCTCCTGGCAAGGTATAAACCCACTTTCCCTTAGCTGCTGTTCATCAGGGCTGCCGATGGGTGTGGGATCAGTGCCGGCCATCGAGGGGGTCGCTCAGGCCGTGGCAGGAGCCCAGGGTGCTCCTGCATCTTATTCCCTACTAACAGCTTCGCCCGTGCAGTTAATGCATCTCCACCCCCGCTTTGCAAAAGATGCATTCAGCTGAATAGCAGGCTGGTAAGAAAACAGAAATAACCCACGATGAGCACGAGGAGCTTTCCAAAAGCGCTGTAGTGAGAGCATTTCTGAGATTCCAAGGTTTATTTTGCATGCCTCCCGGCGGGCGGCTCTTTCAGGCCCACTTTCCTTGACTGCCAGGGAGCTGTCCTGCCCCGACCAGGTTGCGGTTTGCTGCCCTCTCCAAGGCGGACGAGAGGATTAATTTCTTTCCTGTTGGGACCAACGTGAGCTACGTCTGCCGCCCTGGCTATGAGAACATCTCGGAAAGTTTCCCCACCAGCACTTGCCTTGAAAACCTGGCGTGGTCGGAGGCTGCTGAGCTGTGCAGGAGTGAGTATCCCTGCTCCGCTCCAGGCGCCAAAGAGCACCCGTGGGGTTCAGAGCAGCTCCAGTAGCTGCTCCCAAACAACATCCTGAAATGTAGCCAGGTTGTTATCATCCTAGCGCCTACATGCTTAGTGCAAAATTGGATGAATATTCATTGATATTCATATTTAAGACCGAACAGCAGGAGTATCGATAATGTTCTTTTTTCTCTGCTGGCATAAACAGATCTGTCTTGATTTTCATGTTAGGAAATATATTTGCATCTGGACATGGCACATGCACAGGACAAAATGCCAATTTGCAATTCTAACACTGAAATTCAAAATGAAGACAAAGCATGTTTCTTGGCGAAATCCATGTAATATTAAGACTGATGATGTGGCAGCAATACATTTGTCACAGTCGAGTGACTTACTGTCAAACTATTGAGATGGAAATATCTCTGCAAAATTCTCCTCTGCCCTCCTGCAAGATGCTCACCGCTGTGAGCATGGAGCCCTTACGGGGATCCACACTTTCACCTCCACACGGGGGAATTAAAACGCTTCGGTACCTTTGGGTATTAACCCCTTGAAGTCTGTCCCTTATTTTTCCCTCTCCATCGCTCTGTGTTTTGCTAACACCGGCCCCGTTCTCGGCAGGGAGATCCTGCGGCGACCCGGGCGCGCTGCCCGGGGGTGGGATGGCGGCTCTTACAGACCTGCAGTTCGGGGCAAGAGTGAACGTGTTCTGCCAAGACGGGTGAGTGGCGGGGCGATGCGCCCAGCTCCACGACCCCGGGGCTGATGCTGGAATACAAACTCCAGTCCACTCTGATGAACCTGTGGGCACGGGCTGGGCTGCTCTTTCACAAGATATCGCTCCTACGGTGTTGCTCCGAGCACACGGCATGCGGCTGCTTTTCCCACTTGAATTAGAGCTTTGGGATGGGAGAGAATAAGACACAGCTGGAGGGAAGGGACCGGGGTCTGAATTTAAGGCTGCCTGTTCTTTCAAGTGTCATCCAGAGGAAATATAACTGCCCCGGGGTATCTATCCCAATAGGGCTGGTTGTACTTCAGTTTATAACTACAGATTTCAAAACAAGTTACTTAAAATATTTCGGCTTAACACATTTGAGATATATTGATTAAAAAGGGGTTATGTTGGAATTTTTAAAACTCAATGGCATTCAGCTAGAAAACTGCGATGAAGCACACTTTCCATCAGTCCATGAGCTGACTCACACTTTCTGCCTGCTTTCAATCAGGGCCCATATGCAGTAAACTGACCTGCAAAATTAAGCTCTTGCAACTCCAGCTAATATTCCTCCCTCCCTAGCAGGAACTAGCTGGCATCATGTGGCTTGTTCTGCCAGTCTTTGCAGCTGCTTCAAATGTAACAGAGGGTTTTTTTCTCCAGATATTCCCTTAGGATGGATTTTGGGGAAATGACAGCATGTCCCACCCTTCTGGGATTCAGCTAAGTTTTGGAAATACACATCAGGGTGGAGTGATAATGTTATCCATCTAAGCAAGATCAGATACTATCAATTACGTCCAAATGATGAAATTTTTTGAACAGCAAGATGCAATTCAGAGATTGAGGTGTCAGTGCTGTCAGAACAACATGTATTAGCTCCCAGCCAGGAAATCCAATAGCCACTTTAATGAAATGTAGATCCCTATTGCCCCTCACTGGTCCCCGCTGTATGTAGAGGTTGTGTTTGAACACAACACGCTGGAGGGCAGGGATGCCATGCAAAGGGTACCCGGACAGGCTGGAGAGGTGGGCACAGGTGAACCTCATGGAGTTCAACAAGGCCAAGGGCAAGGTCCTGCCCGTGGGTCGGGGCAATCCCAAGCAGGGCCAGGGGGGGGATTCTCCCCTTCTGCTCCGCTCTGGGGAGACCCCCCTGCAGTGCTGGGGCCAGCTCGGGGACCCCCAACAGCAGAAGGACACGGAGCTGCTCGAGCGGGGCCAGAGGAGGCCACGGAGATGCTGGGGGGGCTGGAGCAGCTCCCCTGGGGGGCCGGGCTGAGAGAGTTGGGGGGGTTCAGCCTGGAGAAGAGAAGGCTCCGGGGGGACCTTCGAGCAGCCTCCCAGGGCTTAAAGGGGGGACAGGAAAGGTGGGGGGGACTCTGGGTCAGGGGGTGGGGGTAGGACGAGGGGGAAGGGTTTTAAACTGTCAGAGGGGAGATGTAGATTAGATAGAAGGCAGAAATTGTTCCCTGTGCGGGGGGGTGAGGCGCTGGCCCAGGGTGCCCAGAGCAGCTGTGGGTGCCCCCTCCCTGGAAGGGTTCAAGGCCAGGTTGGACGGGGCTGGGAGCCCCCTGGGCTGGGGGAAGGGGGCCCTGCCCGGGGCAGGGGGTGGCACTGGGGGTCTTTAAGGTCCCTTCCAACCCAAACCGTTCTGTGAGACTGTGATTCCCAGAGACCAGCTGAGGAGATGCGCCAGCAGTCTGCTGCCGTTTGCTTTTCTGACCAAACCTTAGCAAAACAGCCGCACCCCTATAACCCAAAAGCAATGCGCCAGGGAGGAGGTGGCACTGAAGGATGCTGGACACCCTGCCCCCTCCCACCAGCACTGCGGGTTTCAGCAAATCCAGCCACCCGGCCTCGGTCATGCAGCACGGCCGCGAAGCAGAGCAGCAGTCGGGGGCTGAGCCACAACCTTTAGGTGCTGTGGGTGCTCAGGAGGGAGCTCCTCACCTCCTCGCCTTGTGCCGGTGGGTGACAGCGGTGTGGGAAATGCCAGCAGCCAGAATCCCAGCGCTGCTCTTCACCGAGAAGCAGGCAGGGAGAAATAGTCCCTGATTCAGCAGATCCGAGCCAGATGTGGCCGTGTGGGAGCCCACACCAAGCCATGGCTTCTCCCTTCCTTACCTGGAAGATGCGCTCTTGCAGTGAGTCAAAGGAGGAATTGCCTAAAAATAGATTAACCGGGATCCTGGCAGAGGGAAAGGTGAAGGAGCTCTCCTGCTAACCGGGGTATGTGCACAGTGGCTAGCTTGAAAACTATCCTGATCATACTGGTACCAGGGAAAAAAATATTCTCGGTTTCTGGATAGTTATGAAATTTTTCTTTTCTTGTGTATTTTCACTTAGGTACAAATTAGATGGGAGTCATTTCATCCAGTGTCAGCTTAAAGGAAACAATGTTGAATGGAGTAAACTTCCAACTTGCGAATGTAAGATTAATCCAACGTTACTTTTGACTTGACTCCAGCAGATCCTGCATCCTAACGTCTAGTTTAAACCTGTCTTCATACATTGGTTTTGTTGATATTATGTGGCAGATCTGTCACTAACACTGCAGCTGAGAAATTTTGCTGCTCACACTGTATTTCAACAGTTTTGTTCCCACAAGATCAACATATTTTCTCATGGCTTTAGGTAGCAGTGAAGGTGATGGAATGAGATTTTGAGGAGTCACAAGCCAGAGCATGACAAGTTGCCCGTTTATTTTTGTGACCCTTGGAGTGAGAGGGAGAAAAATGCGACAACAGAAACACTTCAGAAACAAGAGAGAGATGATCTAGCCAGAAGGCAGTGCTAGTTATCCATCTTCAGTTAACCATAAAGTTTGTTCTCTTCAAGTATCTTAGGTGAACTCTCAAGAACTGTTTTGCATTTTCATTATTACTAAAGTTTTCAGCAATACTCACATTGACCTTCTTTCCTGCAGTAATTACCTGCTCTTCACCTCCTCAAGTTAGCAATGGAAAGCATGATGGCGAAGGTGTAGAAAAATTTGCATATAACTCAACAGTGACTTACAGCTGCAAGTCTGGCTTCCAGCTCGTTGGCAATGCGAGCATCCGTTGTACGAGCATGGACAAAGCAAACGGGGTCTGGAGCGGAGCTGCACCTGAATGCAAAGGTGGTTTCACTGGAGTTTAGTGTTTATTACAAGTTCAGTATTTAGTATGCACCAGCTTAACATACTGTGATCGCTTCGTACAGGACATGTCTGGTATAAGTCATATTGCAGTTTTAAAGAGAAAAAATGCAGTGCTGCTGAAGTGAGTAAGGAATGAACAGTCTGTGCAAGACAAAGGGTAGTGATCCTAGCAATACTTATTCTTTATACCCTAGAGAAAAGCACATCTGTCAAACTCGGAGCAAAAGAAATGGAAAGAAGTCCTCCTCCCCAAAGTGAGTCGAAATGATTCTACATTGTCCTATGTTTCCCAACTTAATTTCCTCCTTTATCACATTTCTATGAAAAAGTCATTTGATTAATTTCACACTGTGATTTTCTTTATTTTCAGAACCCCGTGGAAACGGCATCCAACCATCTAAGAAGACTTTCACATGGGAAATGAAGCTCAACCTTTATAAAAAGTCCCTCCAAAATACCATCTCTTTCTCACGTTCTTCTTTCTCCAGGACACCAGGTCAGTTCTGGAGGCTCATTTGGAGTTCAGAGGAACTCATCAATGGGATCCCCTGGTTATTCCCAGTCCTATTCTCATATTTCTTTTCAGTGTCAAGGAGCTGTGCTACCTCAGCGTTCAGATTTGTTGTACCTTTGTACAAAACCCCAAACTACTATTCTCCTGGGACCAGCCAAGGATCCGTGTGTCTTCCAAAGTATATGGGGATCTCTGGCATCCTCCCCCAACCTGGCTGCTTTGAAAACTTAAAATGGTCTAAAGTTGCATCATTTTGTGGAAGTGAGTGATTTTTCTGTCATGATCTTTTCTTCTATAAGTTTTCTCTGTATAATTTCTGTTTCTCACTAGTTGGGCATGTGGTTCAAAGCTTTGCTTCATACGAAATGTATTTTCATTTATCAATCGTTTCCTTGCTCTTGTGTTACTACAGATTTTGTTTAACTCTTTTTTGTTTGTTTGTTTGCCATACTGAAAAGCAAGAGATAACTTTGTACCGCCTAGCCTTTAAGAGTGCTGGGGCTCCTGCCCTCGTTCCGGCAGCGAGAGGCAACGCACTAACACTAACCTTGTTCCACACCAGCGAGGTCGTGGGCAGCCAGAAGAAGTTGGACATGGCAGAAGTGCTGCTACAACAGATTCCCCATCCGCTGCAAAGGATCATTTTACCCGTAAAAAGGGTGAGTGTCAGTTATGTTGGAAATGAAAAAGCATTTTTCTGGTGTTGGGGTCAAGCTGACCTTGCCCATCCCTGGGCCTCTTGGGTCAAAAGCAGAAAATCTGTCAGCCCTTTTGTGACGTGTGAATGCGACCAGCCCAGGGCTGTTACACAAATGTGAAGAGGCTGGTGGTTAAGCCCAGGTCCAGAAATGCCCCCGTGCAGGTGCAGCTTGGCCAGGAGGGATTTTCCCCTTTGCTGCATCATTTCTCAAGGGCGGGGTTTGTTCCAACCTGCTAACGTTGCCAGGCTGATGGCTGGGACCAAAATCCCAAGGTATTTGTCTGGTCTGGTAAACAAGGAATCCAAAAATCCCGCTTGTGGGGTTAGAGGCAGTGGTTGGGCATTTGCTGAAGTGTCTGTAGGAAAGACACTGCAGTGGTATCAGTGTTTGAGAAGCCAAAAAAGAGATACAGTTTGGTGATGTTGAGCCCTTAGTAGGAACAAACAAAGGCTAGAAGCATCCTGGACCATACAACATGGAAGGAAAGGGGAAAACTTTCTCCTTTTTTTTTTTGCCTAAAAATGTCTACTTTGCTCTATTATGTAACTTCAGAACAAAGATTGATTTAATAATCTCTTCCTGTTGTTTTTTTCTATTTTTTACTCTTTTGTCATTCTTGGCACTTCTTTGGGAGATCATATCAAAGCAGCAGCTTGACACACAATCTAACGTGAGAAATGCTGCTTTGCGTTGTGCTTCAGGAACTTGGCTCTCCTGCCCCAAAACATGGGTCCTGTAAAATCAGTCCCTCAGTGCCAGAAGGTTGGAGTGAGGGATGAGATGGGGGAAATGGAACAATGCCCCAAAACATCCTTTTGTTTGAAGGAGGAATTGGTTCAGGCCTTTCTAAAGAGCAGTGCTAAAATTCACCCCCAAACCGGGCGAGTTCTTAAAAATCTGGGCAGAAAGCTTAACTCTCCTTGAAACTACAGCCCGACTAATCTTCATGTGAACATTTCTTTCCCCCAGGCTGTGTATATGGCCCATAGGAACTGCATGGAAAGATTTATCTATAGCTTTGGAGCAGTTTATTTGTGACGGGTCTGCCCTCGTCCAGTGATGCCGTGACCAAGGGACCCCCGCAGAAGAAACCCCGGGAGGAGGCATTTGCACTTCCCCTGCATGATTGCAAAGACAACTGGCACGTGCTGCCCTTCCTGCCATCTCACTGCAGATGTAGACAGGACACACAGTTAAATGCCCCAACAAAATATTTTGTTAACCTTTCAAACAAAAATAGCACTGTAAACATAATGCATGCAAAGCATTTGCCGTGTTCTGTTTCTATGCAATGGTTGTACTTGTCAGGACTCTTACAGTTTGCTTTAAAACACAGAACAAGCTAGATCAAGTCTGTCCCATGTACATGTACAAAATGTATTTTTTTAATTGTGATATGCTTTAACGTTCCAAGAAATTGATTGAAAATTACTAATGCAAGAGTTGGCTAATTCCCATAGTTCCTTTTCCCATCTGAGTTTTTCTCTCTTTCAGCAATGTCCTCCTAACGTCCCGAATCCAGTTACAGATCTGACCAGCCCTTTTTTTCAGCCTGGGGGTGGGAAGCCACAGCCGCTCAGAAACCCCTCAGCCTTCTGCAGAATTTCTGACAGAGCTCGGTTATGTCACAACCCCTTCGAGTTGGTGTTTCCACAACCACATATTTCCTTGCTCACTAGCAACGCCGGCCTGCTGCCATAGCAATCACTATAAATACAAACTCACAGGACAGGCTGTGAAAGACCCAAATCTCTTTGCTGAGATGAGCTGCTCCCTTCATTTACCAAGAATTTCTGGCTGTAGCACAGTCCGGTTGGAGATACACCCATGCTAGCTGCCAGCAGGGTTGTGCTGAAAGCGAAACGCTGACTTCCCTGTCTTGCAAAGTGATGTGCTCATTTCTTTTAGGAAATCATACTACTTTCCACGCTAAATTGAACGTTGATCTTTATATCTTCAGCACTTTCTTTAACAAAAGTTTTTTCTGTATGAGACATAAGACCTTTGCAGTTTATATTTTTGTTCAGGCTACATGAAAGATAACAGGCACGAGTGGCCCGGGTATCTACTGATCTCACATACTGTAAAGGAGCTACTTCTGCTTTCCAGACAGGAAAGGCAGCTCTGTAACGCTGCAGGCCGAGCACAGCGACCATGCACAGCCTGGAGTAACTAAATACACTCTCCAGTGTTGTCATCCTGCAACAGCTGGGAATGTCAGGGTTTTGCTGTTGGCTGCTTATCATCTTTGCACTACACAGTACACTAATATAATTTAGGTGCATGGTAATTGTTCATAAAGGGTAGCCTGTGAATTCAGCTGCCTGCTGTTCCCTTTTCATATTTTATGCTCTTTTCAGGAAGGTATCAGCTTTTAGAGGTATCTTAATTTGCTGTTCAATCAGTTCTTTATCAGCACTCTTATTTATTTTCTAAATGGCCTCCTATGCAAGTTTAACTTGGTTTAAGAGAAAGGAAAGAAAGAAAGAAAATCCATGTGGTAATGTTTGGGAATGTGAGTGTTACTAGTAAGTGGTCTGAAAAAGAAAGCTGGAGCGATGCATACCTACCTTGATCCTACTTAGCTGTCCTGGTCCCGAGTTCTGCAGCCCCTCTGCTGCAGCTGCCCCGCTCAGCCTGGGGGGGGCCGGTCCCAGAAAGGCTTTGGGAGCCGGGGGTGACATCCCAGGCTGCTGCCCCGCACGGGGATGGCAGGAGCGCGGGGAGCGGGCAGGCAGCCCAGGGCGGGTTTCTGCGGAAAGCCAAGAGCAACTCCGGCAGCTCAACCCCTGTTTTTGCTGGCTGGGTTTGCTGGAAACCTCACGTTGTTCCAGTGGGAGCCTGGCAGCGTGGGTGCACAGGGGCAGCACGGGCCAGGCTCCCCTCTACATGTGCTCGCTTCTGTCCTTGCCATCTGCTTGGCCTGATTTCTGCAGCGCGGGGAAGGGATGGCACAGCAAGATAAAGCAAATTGGCCTCTTCTGCTCCAGCTGAGCAGGCGCCGACCCGCTATCGCAGGGCTCAGCTGCTGGGGCAGCTCCTGCCCGGGAGCGTTCGGTGCTCGGTTGGTTACTGGGGCAATACAGGGCAAAACAGGGCTGCAGACGTGGGTGGCAGAGGGACGGGGCTGGTCTGAGCCCGATGGTCTCGGCAGGTCCAGATGTCTCCCGCGTGGCTTCGGGTGGGAAAGCAGCCCAGCCCGAGGGGTTAATCTGAACTCTGTTAGCAAGGGGATTTCACTGTGTTGAAACTGCAGCCCTTGGCTCTTCTGATGTTCAGGCGAACCGAGCCGCTCCCTGAGGAGGCACGACATTACAAGAAGTCTTTGCCAAATACTTCTCAACACCTCGCTGAGGTCACTGCTGTAAGCTATTACAAGAGAACTCCCCAGCATTCAAGGCATTTTTTTCCTGTTAGCAACCTCCTTTTGTATTATGCAGCCACCGTCCCAGTTCAGATCTCAGGTAACCAGTGACCTGTAAAAATATGTGGCCAAGACACCTCTGTGTAATTTCTCAACATGTTCACAAGTATGGTAAAGGAATACGTTATCTGGGATGCTTGACACCTCTTGGCCTCATTGTAGATGCTTTTGTTATATATTCTTGGCGCTTGAATTGTGCTGGAAAGGGAAATATAATGGCAGGGGGTGGGGAAAGATAACTTTGGGTTTTTCAGTGGAAACATCACTGTTTCCTGGATAACAAAGGCAGACCGGGAGGCAGGAAGGGACAGGCAGGCTGCTGCTGGCTGCCCTTTCCTCGGGGTGGGGTGACACTAGCCCCTGCCTGGCAGCGTGGGACAGGGCAGCAAAGGCAGCCAGAACCTTTCCCGTGGCTCTTCCCACAAGGCCCGTGGGCAGCGAGCCCGGAGCAGCTCTGCCTTCCCAGGCGGGCACGGAGCCCAGGCCAACGGCCCCTGCGCCCGGCCGGGCCCGAGGACACCCCTCGGCCTCCGCGGGCAGCGCAGCGTCGCCTCCGAAGGGGTTTGTGTCTAACTGGGAGGGCTACAGTGGGAAAACTGGTGTCCCCGCTGCCTTGTTTCATGCGAGGTGTTGACAAAAGCAGCTCAATTAGCAGCCCCAAAGCAGGGCTGATTTACAGCCCTCTGGCCTCCTGTGCACCCCTCAGGCTGCAGAAAAGCCCTTTTCTCTTCTCTCTTCTTGCAGAAAACCCTCTCTTTCACGGAGCTCTGTTCCTACAGACAGGCAGGGGATGTCTGAAGACGGTTTGGGGGGGGGGGGGCTGATGTCGCCAGGCTGCTCTGGGCTCCCTGGGCCATGCACTGGGGGGCACCGATGGGGATGCAGCTCTCGACCCTGCACGCAGCCGAGCTGGTGTTGGGGGACGAACGGGACCTTCTCCACCCCTCCCGGCTTCGGGGTGCGCTGCGGGGCTCACAGCCAGACCTGGCAACACCCACGTGCTGCCTTTTTTGGGGTTTTGTTTTGGATTTTTGTTGTTGTGGGGTTTTTTTTTGTGTTTTTGTTTTGTTTTGTTTTGTTTTGGTTTGGTTTGGTTTGGTTTGGTTTGGTTTTGTTGTTGTTGTTTTGGTTTTTTTTTTTTGTTTTGTTTTGTTTTGTTTGTTTTTTTTTCCTTTTCCTTTGGGACTTGATATCTCTGGAGAGAGGGGTCACTCTGCGGAGAAACGATTTGAAGGCAGCGGGGGGGCTGGGGAGCCCCGCTCCGCTCCCCCGGGTGCCCAGCCTGCCTCTTGGCGCAGACACGGGCAGAACCGCCCACTTCAGCCCCACGCCCGCCTCCAGCCACGGGGCAGACTTTCATCAGAAAATCCCCCAGAGATGAGACGGCCGGGAGGGGGCCGGGGAGGGGTTCAAGCCCTTTGGGAGCGGCGCAGCTTTTGGCTGCGTGTCCCGGGGCCGAGGGTGCCGCCGGCAGCCGCCTCCCGGCGCTGTCCACCCGTGGCGGCAGCTCCCCACGCGTGCTCTTGAACAAGCACCCTCCCTCCCCGCCCCCTCCTCCCCCCGCGGCTCCGGGAGTGGCCCCGCTCCCCCGCAGCAAGGCGGGGAGCCCCCGGCTGCGCGCCCCGGCCGTTGCTCCGCTCCCGGCGCCCCGAGGCGGCAGCGATGGGCCCCGGGCGCCGCCGTCCGCTCCTGCCCGCGCTGCTGCTGCTGCTGCTGCCGCCCGCGGCGTGGGGTGAGCCCGCGGGGGGGAAGAGGGGGCGTGCGGTGCGTGGGGAGCCCTGTCCCCCTGGGCGTGTGCGGGTGTGAGTGTGCTCCGTGGGTGAGGGTGCCTGTGCTCCGTGGGGAGGGGGGGGTGTGTGTGTGTGCGTGTGCTCCGTGTGCAGGTGTGAGTGTGCTCCGCGGGTGCGCGTGCTCCGTGGGGGCGTGCATGTGCTCCATGTGTGGGTGCTCCGTGGGTGCGGGTGCTCCGTGGGGGTGTGCATGTGCTCCGTGGGTGTATGTGCACACGTGCTTTGTGTGGGGGTGCGTGTGCTCCGTGTGCAGGTGTGAGTGTGCTCCGTGGGTGTGCGTGCTCCGTGGGTGCGTGTGCCTGTGCTCCGTGGGGGCGTGCATGTGCTCCATGTGTGGGTGCTCCGTGGGTGCGGGTGCTCCGTGGGGGTGTGCATGTGCTCCGTGGGTGTATGTGCATGCGTGCTTTGTGTGGGGGTGCGTGTGCTCCGTGTGCAGGTGTGAGTGTGCTCCGTGGGTGTGCGCGCTCCGTGGGTGCGTGTGCCTGTGCTCCGTGGGGGCGTGCATGTGCTCCATGTGCGGGTGCTCCGTGGGTGCGGGTGCTCCGTGGGGGTGTGCACGTGCTCCATGTGCGGGTGCTCCGTGGGGGTGTGTGCGTGTGAGCTTCGTGTGGGGGTGCGTGCACTCCACGTGTGTGCTCCCCGCTTGCATGCGTGTGCTCCGTGTGCGGGCATGCGTGTGCTCCGGGGGGGGGTGGGGTGGGGTGTGTGTGCTCCGGGGGGGGTGTGCATGCTCCATGTGCGGTTGTGCATGTGCTCCGTGGCTGCGTGTCCACGCTCCGTGTGCTCCACACACGCTCTGCTCCTCCATCTGTGTGTCGTGGGTGCGTGTGCCGTGCTCCCCTGCCGTCCCCGTGTGGGCAGCTGCGCTGTGCCCTGCCCACGGAGCTTCAGCAGAAGCCCCACTAAACCCAGTTTTACTTTACTACAGGTGACTGCGGGCCGCTGCCGAACATAAGCCGCGCAGAGCCCCCGGAGGACACGAAACACAGGGGAAGCTTCAGGGTGGGCTCCAAAGTGACGTTCAGGTGCCTCACGGGTTTTGTTAAACGCCCTTTGCTGTCAGACACCATCCAGTGCCTTGCAAACTCCCAGTGGTCCAACCTCCCGGAGTTTTGTGGTCGTAAGTTTTTCGCTTGCTCTGAGTTGAGTTGCTTGGAGATGCGCGCTGCTTGTGAAAACATTTACGGCTTTAGCAATCGCTGCTCAGAGAGTTTCCTCATCCGAGGTGACGCATGATGGAGTTGCCGTCAGAGAATCTCTTACTGACCCGGTTTCCTAACTCCGCTGAGTCTGCTGGAGCCACGTGCTGGCGCTTGCGTGTTAATAAAAATACATCAACAGCTTGGGGAAAGCCCAGGAAAGGGGGGGGAGAGCTCGGGGGGAGCGCTGGCACCGCTGACGGGGTTAGCTGGGTGGGAGGGGGTGGCGTGGGGGTTTGCAAACCTCCCCGGTGTGAACTGGCTGCACTTCCCCCCCCCTCAAACGCTTCCCGGGTGGAACTGGCAAGGGAGGCGAGCACTGAGCCGGTGAAGGATTGAAAGAGGGCAAATTTTAACATTTAAAATAATCTTCCATTAAACAGACATCTGGGAATAACTCTGGATGACACAAATTATCAATCACCTCCTTAAAAACGTCTGTGATACCCATACTCTTAGGAAGGCTTGTGCGTTATCGCTTGGATTTATGTTTATACATAGCTGAATGCAAAATATTGTTGTTTTCTCTTTGTAACTGTACGCTTTGACTGTCTTCATTGTCACTAGGTAGCTGTCAAAGCCCACCACGTGTGCATTTCGCTAGAATATCACAAGATGATGGAATGCAGAATTTTTATGACGTTAATATCACGGTGAAGTATGTTTGTCGTCCAGGCTATAAGAACACCACTGACCAGCCCCCCACCAGCACTTGTCTTGACAATTTAACATGGTCAGAAGTTCCCGAGCTATGTCAAAGTGAGTGTCTCCATGTCATTTCATTTTCCCCAGCGCCCTCCCACAGCTGCATCCGCAGCGCCGTGTTCCAAGCGCCACGTCTGATTTATATTTTAGGATTGTCTTTTTTTTAATGACATTTAGCATGAAATACCATCGGATGCCTGGTTTGACATTGCCAGACTGTCATGAAAAGTATGTCTGTGGGCTTTCTCCGTGTCCTTGTAGTGTCCTAAGCATAATCTTATTCTTTTTTAGGGAAATCTTGCGGTATTCCAGCAAATCCAGAACATGGCAAAGTTATTACAAATGATCACCTGTTCGGTGCAAAAGCAGATGTAGTTTGTAACCGTGGGTGAGTGCGAAGCTAGCTGCCCGTTGTGGCCCAGTCACCTGGCCAGAGTCACTGGTGTGTGAGGTGGGACAAGGGGCTCTGCCTGCCGAGTCCTCGGCACCTCTCCGGGGTGACGTGCCCTTGGCTGGTGACCACAAACTGCTGTGCTGATGTGCCTTTCACCGCGCAGGTACACACTGAAGGGAGCGTCGCCTCTCGTCTGGTGTTCTCTAAGAGGAAGTGAAGTTGCCTGGACTCAAATTCCACCTTGTCGGGGTAAGTGAAGTTGTGCAGCGCTTGACTGGAAATACCAAATATTCCAACTCAGCAATACCGAATCATGTGTTGATTTTACTAAACGAGGTCAGGTGAATATCTCTGGAAGGGAGACAGCTGCTGGGATGAAAGCAGGGACGAGCCAGTAGCATCACTGGGACCTTCCACCCGTGCCCTGGGCTGCAGCCAGAGCAGGGGGGGCAGCAGGGCCAGGGAGGGGATTGTCCCCCTCTGCTCCGCTCTGGGGAGACCCCCCTGCAGCGCTGGGTCCAGCGCTTCTTTCTTTTTCTCCCTCAGCTATTTCTTGCCCTCCGCCTCCAGCTATTCCCGACGGGAAGCACAATGGCAACGGCACGGAGTTCACCTACGGCTCAGTCGTGACGTACATGTGTGACCCTGGGCTCCGGCTGGTGGGAAACGAAACGCTTCGTTGTACAACGGAGAACAGGGTTGATGGCGTCTGGAGCAGGTCTCCTCCCGAATGCAGGGGTGAGCATCACGGGGTGATCGTCCTGTTCCCGAGTAGTTTTTCTTGCTGTGCAGTTCATTAGCCCTAATTCCCTGCTCTCAGAAAGGGAAGGGCTCCAGTCTGGCATTCCCGTAGGGTTTGTTTCCAGGGGAGCAGCACCTGCTTACAGCAGCGATGGTTGGCAAGTCTGTGCTCTGCAGGGTGCCGGGCTCTGCTGCAGAACACCGCGAGCACAGGCGTACACAGTTTTACATTTTTCCCTTCAAGAGGAACAGGCAGAATTTTCATAAACAATGCGTGAAGTGTATCAGTAACTACAAAGCTGGTGGACTAAACCTCAGAACGGATACATATCTGATGTCCAGCAACAGCCGAGCACGAAAGCCGAGTGGGGCAGCAGGCTCGCCTCTATCCATCAGGCTGGTTTTGTCACCGAGAGGTCCCTGTGTCTTTTCCACAGCTCTCGCTGTCATAGCCACAGATGCACAGGTCACCTGCCCGTGCTACATTTACTCCTCACTGAAGTATTATACATATTATGTATAAATGGAGAATTATATAAAATATATCTTTGACTGGTTTTCCTTTATTTTTTTCTCTCTATAGTTAGCACTACAGCAGTGACAAAACACACTGAACCCTCAGAAGAGAAAATAGCAGAGAATCCTTACTGGCTAGGTAAGAGTTCAGGAGAGGCTTTCTGCTTCAGAGTCCTTTTAATTGCTGTAATTGCACCCCCACTGGGTGCCTATGACCACACACTGTTGATTTTCTGCTCTCGTTGTGCCTTCTTCATTTCTTTCGGTGGGTCTATCTTCAAATCTCTAAGGGGGTTGCACAGGCTTGTTCCCTGGTCTAATCCCCTTTTCTCTCTGCTCCCAGCTGAGTGACTCCTCAGCTGACATGGTACGGGGTAGATTTTGGTGCTCAAATCTCTCTCCGTGCAGCTGAGCAGCTCTGTAGAAACCACTAACGTTATCTTGGCTGTATTTGGGCAATGTTGAGGGTGGAGGCAGCCTGGAGCTACAAACCTCAGCTCCATCAGTGGAGAGAGGAGGGGTGAGGGACTCCAGAGGAGCATAATGACGTGTGTAGTAGTGAATGACAGATTGTTTTATAGTATTTTGTCTTCTCAGCAGTGTATGGTTGTCTGGGTTTGAATAATATTGTTCTGTGGGCATAGATTAAGGAGCTTCCCTGCTTAGTTATCAGCATTGTTGGCTTCACTTTTTTAACATCAGTTTCATTATTTTCTTCTCTAGCGAGTATCCTCATCCCTAGTTGCATTGGTAAGTAGTTTAAAATTGAAAATATATTTCCCAAACTCAAAGCTGTTATTTGCTGTTAAATACCTGGAGTTGGTGGTTTTGGTTTATGCGTTTCACTACCTCTAGTACTGAGTGTCTCTGGGCAGGATTCGGGGGTTTTTCTGCTGTTGGGTAATGCAGCAGCATTGCAAGCAACTGGATGGATTATCTGTGTCTTAGTATAAAATGTTACATTAATTGAGGATGAAATGAAAGAAACCAGTGTGAGAAGCCAGCCAAAACCCGTACAGCCTGTCAGTCTTTAATTGATAAAGTTGCTTTAAAAGGCCTTGGCAGACATTGAAAGATAAGAGATTAGTGAAGTTTGAAACATCCTTGTTGCAAAAGAGATCAAGTACTAAAAATGATGAGTATGTTTAAAATACAAAGGAAACAGGAGGCTGCCTATAAAAGCACTAAATAAATGAGGTTCACACCATTAACAAGTTCAGCATGGCACCGCACTCAGCAGCGGTTTCTGTGTTCAGAGACACAGGAGGGGTTTTGCATTATTCGGGCTGAGAGGAGCCTCTGAGTGCTGACAGGCAGCCCCCGAGCAGAGAATTTTGCTGCCAGTCTTTTACCAAACTGCTGTCTTTCACTTAAATTACATAACAAATTTGCTTGTATGTTTGTTTGTTTGTTTTTCTTTTTTTTTCTTCTTTCTTTGTTAGTTCCCCCTGTAGTCCTTGGAATTCTAGTTGGCATCATCATGAGATGCAAAGACAGAAAAAAAGAGTAAGTGAGCCCCAGCTGCCCCTCATAAATCATAACTTTCCCTAAGGATAACTGGGTATTTCCTTTGAAGGTCTGAGTGATAGTAATTACCTTCAGTACATATTTGCATGGTTAGTGCTATCTTTCCATGTTGCTAAGTTGCTTTTCATTCTATGAATTTTCTCCTTTCTGTCCCCTCAGCTCTTACAATATGCATTTACAAAAGCACGAGATGAAGGGAAAGGATCCACTGATGCACCCAATGATAACGGGTGATGAGAAGCAGCCTGTGCCATGGCGTTCCTATTTTTGGTAGGTTTGCTTCTTCAGCTGCCCAAAATCTCGTGCTGCTCTTCTGACTGCACCCCGGGATCTCACCTCTTTCTAGTTAGGAACCTTGCCGTGCCCGGCCACACCGGTGCGGCACATCTGGATGCAGTTTTTGCCTCTAAAATGCCAACGTCTCGCTGAAGAGGCAACGGCTGCTTCACGGGAGGGCTTGGCGTTCGCCGGCTGCTCTCGGGGCTCGACAGGAGGGATCCCCCCCCCCCATCTCTCTCTCATCCGCAGCCACACGACGAGTTGCCATGTGTGTCCCACCTGCAAAGAGCGGGTGCACGCCGCTCTGGCCCCCCGCGCCGAGCCCCCGCGCCACGGCTGTGCTGCCTGTGAGGACTGGCTGGGCGTCCAGCCCGGCACCCCGCGCTCCTTCTCCATCCCCAGCGTCGGCGAGAGCCAAAGCCCCGCGGGCACAAGGTACCGCGGCCGACCGGGCGCTTGCTCCTGCTCCCCCTGCACGGCTCTGTGCAAAGCAAATCAGCGCTTTCCACCGGGGTGGGGAGGGAAAGCATCGACACACGGATAGAGCAGGGTTTGCAGTTTAAGTTAAGTCCATCGTTTTTAGCAGCTGAAAAAATGTCCTATTTAGAAAACAGTGGGTCCATAGGGCAGTAGTCGTTCTTGGAAAGCCATGCCTTCGGGTGGATTCAGGTTGTTTTCTCTCCTTCTCTGCATCCAGCATTCCTGCCAAAGCCGCGGATGAGCTGGGGGGTGAGGGCACAGGAGAAGCTGCTCCAGAGCGGAGTGAGGCGGAGCAGCCCATGGACCATGAAAGGTCTGTCTTCCACTTAAAAATACACAGATGCCACAGTGGGCTCGAATAAAAATAATTTCAGCGTGGAGTAGAACTGTATTTATTCAAGTAGAAAATAAGGGTATTCTACACCTCCTTATTTATTCCCACCACTTTCCTGTTTTGATACTGTGCTGAATATTACAGCATTTAATTACTTTTGAAACACTAATCTCTGCTTTTATTCCCCTACAACAAAGGAGCTCCGGGCAATTTTTGTGCTTTGTTCTTTCAGTGCTTTTAAAAGGCATTCAGCACGTGCAGGCGTTTCTCCTGTTTCTTTCCTTGTGTTGCTCTCGGGCAGTTGCACCGTGCTCTGCGCTGCCCGGACACTTCCCGCAGTGCTCGGCATGCGGGGCTGGCACCGAGCCGCCCTCCGCTCCGCGAGGGCAGCGCCGAGCTGCAGCGTTTGCAGGCTGGATGAGGTGAGGTTGGGACCCGGGGCTCTAGCTATAAGGAGAGTCGGGGTTTATGGAGTGTGTTTCAGAAGAGGCAAAGAAACGGCTCATACATTTTGGCAAAGCGAGGGAGGTTTGTGCTAGAGCTAATGCCAAGTTTTCATCCTGCCTGGGACGGTTGCAGGGAAGCTGGAGGTGCCGAACTTCACGGTGATTTTTGAGTCTCCCTGGAGAGACTCGAGGCACGTCCTCAAGGGTGCTTCTCCACAGCGACCACCACGTCTGCCCCGTCTGTGAAAGCTGGCTGCGCGCACACCTCGGCCCGTGCGAGACCCGACCCGCGGCCCCGGGGGAGCAGCCGGCCGAGGGGTGAGTGCGCGGTTGGTTCCTCTTGCTTATGGCTCTGCATCAGGATAAAAACGCGCCGCCTGCTTGCAAGCGGAGGGAGGGGAAACCGGTGTGAGGTTTATTTGGACAGCGCTTGCGCGGTTTCCTTGTACGTCTCTGAATCAGCTTGTGCTCCCCCAGCCATCCTCGCTTGGCTCGGCCTCGTGGCTGCTCTGGCCCGTGGTGGAGCTCTGTGTTTGGTTGAGCTGTAAAAAGCCGGCGTGCTGTAAGAGCCCCCGCAGCGGGGGCCTTGTGTTCACCAAGTGCCGGGTGCTTTTTTCCACCCTTAGGCACGGTTGGTTGCTTTGGGGCAGCGCAGCGGCGAGGTGAGCAAAGTGCTGCTCTATGCTCAGGTTATTTTTTGACACTTGCCCACGTGAGTCTTGTGTTCTCTCGGGCTCAGAAAGCTTCTTTAACAGAGTCATCTTTGGCAGAGGCAAATTCAGATAAATACTTGATTGAAATAAACATGATTTCAGGGGTGCATCCACCTGCTTTAGCTTTTGTAAATATGAATTTCTTTTTACCAGTCGTTTCTTTCATGCTGTTCCTGTGAGTGCTTGTTCCGCTTGCTATTAGCCCTAACCCTGGAGGAGCCGCTTCAGTTTTGCATCCATAAATCGCTACTTGTTTGAGCTTAAAAAGTTAGTATCTTGGAAATTGTCAATGAAACTAGCTTTTGTGGTGCTGGAGCCTGTGCGGTGTGGCTTGGCGAGGAAGACTCTCCGAGCTGAGCCCGTCGGGGCTCACCCTTGGCTCTCTCTCCACAGCCCGCGGGGTCCCGTCTGCCCGCCCTGCGCCGACCGGCTGCACCTCTCCCTTGTCCACAGCGACACGGCGAGCTGCCCCGTGTGTCCCCTGGCCCCAGAGGGGACCCTGGCTCACCTCGTCCCCCGCCGCACCCCCAGCTGCCACGTCTGCCCCATCTGCGCGGCGCCCACCCACGCGCACCTCTGCCAGGCACCCCACGGTAGGGACCTGCGCGGGGGCACCCAAAACGCCCTTCGGGTCCCCGCGGCTGGGGGCCAAGGTGCCACGGAGCAGAGGCTGCAAAGGTCCTTCCTCCCAAAGCCGAGGGGCTGCAGCTCGCAGCGACTAACCCCAATTAACCTCTCGTTTCCCTGTTGCAGGATAAATGCCGGCGGCTGTAGCCCCCTTAGCGGCACGAAGCCGGTGGGAGAGAAGGGAGAGGTGCTGCACCAACCCCTGGCACTGCCCGGGGCCAAGTTCTGAGTGCAATAAGGCACCTGACATCGAGTGTCTGACTTCACAAGCAAGGATTTGTAAAGAAGCAGGAAGATCAAACATACTTCAAATCCAGCTCCACGCTGGCTTCATGCCTACTGGTTTGTTTGTTTTAGTATGAAAAAACAATTTTTGCAGCTCTTAAAGTGAGGCTTTAAAAATTCAGTAAACGTTTCCTTCCACTAGGAAAAGAATTTCATAGTAAACACCCTCTTTGCACAATCTTGCAAGATTTACTCGTATCTTTTAAACTACTTTTTTACTGGGGTTCCTTTACTGGTGTGCAGAAACAAGTGCGCCAATTGCAGTATTTATAGGAAAACTGTTTTGTAAATAAAAGGAATATAAAATAAGCAGCACTAGTATCCTGACTTGGATGTTTTTTCTTCATATTCACTATGCAAACCTTCTCACAGAGCGCTTTAAAATGATTTTGCAGTCTCATTTTTTGCTGGATGTAATCAGCTGCTCAGGTAATTGCTGCTGGCACGTTGCTCCGCTGTCCCTAGCAGTGCGCCTGGCCCTTCCTGGGAACCGCGATGAGGGAGGGGAGGCAGCGCTGCTGGAGCAGAGCCACTGCCCGGGAAGGTGTGTGCTCCTCTCCGGGTACAACGACCCACTGCCGACCCCGAGTATTCCTGCACTGGTTGGATTTTCTACCCAAAAAAACAGGCTGCCGCTCCAGCAAGGAGTTCAGAGGATTAAACTAGCAGTTCTCCCCTTGGTGTTTGCTGGCTTTACTCCTTGTTTTGTTTTGACATGGAGACAAAATTAACCGTTATAATACAGAAGCTGTAAAAATTGCCTTTCTGCTGAGAGGCCGAGAGAGTTGGGGGGGTTCAGCCTGGAGAAGAGAAGGCTCCGGGGAGACCTTCGAGTGGCCTCCCAGGGCTTAAAGGGGGGACAGGAAAGGTGGGGAGGGACTTTTTACAAGGACAGGTAGTGATAGGATAAGGCGTAATGGCTTTAAACTGACAGAGGGCAGATTTAGATTAGATAGAAGGAAGAAATTGTTCCCTGTGCGGGGGGGGAGGCGCTGGCCCAGGGTGCCCAGAGCAGCTGTGGGTGCCCCCTCCCTGGAAGGGTTCAAGGCCAGGTTGGACGGGGCTGGGAGCCCCCTGGGCTGGGGGAAGGGGGCCCTGCCCGGGGCAGGGGGGGGCACTGGGGGGGCTTTAAGGTCCCTTCCAACCCAAACCGTTCTAGGATTCTACAATTTATTAGTGTTTGCCAACAGACGGGGTTTATTGGTGTTCTGGCAGGAGTCAGCCAGTGCCGCAGGTCGGCCAGGAAGGTGCGGCGCAGTTCTCTGATTCTGCTGTTGTGTTTGTTCAAACTGGGACGCATCCCATTTCCGTGGGCTTCTGTTGACGGGTGCAGCCCTGATACCAGATTGAGGAGAGGACGAGGCAACGGCCCTCTGAGCACCCGAGCTGCCCCGCGCCCTGGCTGCTGTCCCTCGCTGTCCCCTTCGGATCATCCCTTCCAGCGTGGGGCTGGCGGGAGCTGGGGCTGTTCCTGGGTGCCAAGTGGTGGGTGCACCGTGCCCTGAACCTCACCTGGGTGACGCAGAGGGCGAGGTGCAATAAAGAGAAGACGTAGACAAGGTCTGCACGGTGCACCACGGGTGTGGCGGTGCGCCGGGGGGGGGGGGCCCCCGCTGCCCTTGAGCTGGGGACCAAGGGCAGGGCGATGGGGTGGCCCCACCAAGAACACGGGGCCCTCGTCAGGCAGAGGCTCCCACGCGTTGGCGTCACGGGGAGTGGTGCTGGGTGACTCCCCGCCCAGGTAAACCCCTCCCGGGGCAAAAAAAAAAAAAAAAAAAAAAAAAAAAAAGGAGGGGGGAAAAAGGGACCCGACCCCCGCTCCAGCCAGTTGTGGTTTGCCGCTTCTCGGCTGTGCAGCAGCATCGTTTCGTAGCCGATAAAGGAGAAAGCGACCGCGCCGTGGGAGCCGCCGCGGGGGGAGCCGCGGAGCCCAAGTCCCCGTTGACCTCGAGAACTGGGGAGAGGGTGGGAAAAAAAAAAAAAAAAAAAAAAAAAAAAAAAAAAAAAAAAGAGAAAACAACAAAACCGCTGAGCATCAACTGCGACGGGAGCCGGGGGCCGGCCCGACCTCTGCCCGCCCCGGAAAGGGCCGCGCTCTGCGCTGCGCGCAGTCCCGCGGAGCCGGGCGCGGAGCGGCCACGGCCATGGAGCTGCGCTGGGTCTGCGCCGTGCTGCTGGTCCTGCCCGGAGCGTGGGGTGAGCGGGGCTCCGTGGGGATGGTTCCGCGTGGGAAGGGGGGGGGGGTGGGGGGGCTGGGGCTGCGTGGGAAGGGCTAAAGCGACCCTCCCCACGCCCCTTTCATCCCGCAGGTGAGTGCCCGCAGCCGCCCAGGTTTGCCTTTGCGGAGCCCCTCACGCCCCCGGAGCAGTCCTACGCCGTGGGGGCCACGCAGAGGTACAGGTGCCGCCCGGGGTACACAGTGGCCAGGGACAAGGCCCCCGTGGTCACCTGCCTCGACAACTCCACCTGGTCAGAGAACCCCGACTTCTGCATCGGTGGGTCCCCCCTCGCGGGCTCCTGGGTTGGGGGGAGGGCGGGGGGGGGGGGGGGGGGCATGTGCACATCCCCTGCTGCACCTCAGAGCCCACTCGTGTCTCGGGACACTTGGGAAGGATGCTCCCCGGGTTGCTATTTTTAGGGCAGTTGAGAACGACCCCCCCGCGTGCCGGCCGGGGGGGCTGCCCTTCCCCCTTAGAAACGCTAATCTCTGGGAGATGATCTCTGCCCTTCTTAATTCCTTTACCACCTGGTGGCAGAGTGTAAATACTGTAATATATTTGCACAGAAACAAGGTACCGTGTGGAAAAGGGTGTGGGAGCCTGTTGTCCCGGTGGCAATGTACCTGTACCGGCCCTAGGGTGGTCAGTGGGTCCTTCCCCATCCTCTTCCTCACCCTGTTTCCTTTCCGTATGCGCCAAGACCTCTGCCCTGGGCCCGCTGGGGTTTCCTTTCTCAGTAAGCATATAGACCGTGGCTTTTTTCAGTTGTCCTCAGCTTTATTTGCGCTGTTACTTTCTTTTAACTTTCAATTCCTCAGAAGTTACTGTGGATCTTGCATCTTTTCTGAAAGTGCTGGTACTTGCTCATGAGGGAATTCAGGTGCCTGATCAATGGTCAGTTAGACCCGCACGAGCACCGTCACCTCCATTTCACTCTCACACTATAAAACAAAGCTAATGCTGATCGTTTGCCCTTCCAGGGAAGTCGTGCGGTCCAGTGGACATCCCGAATGGCAAGTTTAACTACACGACCAACCTCCTGTTTGGGGCGACAATAACCTACACCTGTGACCTCGGGTAAGCCTTGGCCCCGGGTTTTTTATAGCTGGGGGCCGTGTGCGTGGCAAGCACGGGCACGGCAGGAGGTGTTTGGGGTGGGGAGCTGGGGGGTCAGGCTCTCTCCTGCTGGTTCTCTTCTGGGCACGAGAACACGGTCTTTGCAGATTGCTTTTTGGCTGCTTTGCAAAGGATTTTGTTCGTTTCCTGTTGGTGCTCTTTGGTAATTCAGCGGTTGCTGTTGTGCAGTGGGTCCAGCTGTCCCCGTCTTCACTAAGGGGTCTCAGGAAAGGGGTGTCCTGGGGGTGCCAGGAGTGGGGCGAGAGGGAAGGAGGGTTGTTAAGGTTTGTCAGTGACACCTCCGAAAATAAGTTGGGATCTGCCACTCCACAGCATGGGGTTGAACAGACTCAGGGTGAGGATGCTGTCCTGTGAGCTTGTGTCCACCCACTGCAAGTGTAAAGTTTCCTCTAACTGCATCATATATTGTATTTCTTTAGGTTTTAAGAGAATTGTATTTTATAGGAGGGCTAGCTGATTTTCCTTTAGGGTTCACCTCCTCCAGAGAATACCATTAGAAAGTATATCCGAATTTCCCAAGTATTTTTTAATTTTTTTAAAGAGATTCAATCTTTTCTTAGGTACCGATTAATTGGAAAGTCATCTGCAAAATGTGTACTTGGAAACAATGAAGTTGTTTGGGATAGCAATCCATACTGTGAGAGTAAGCAGCTCTTAAATGTTTTGTGTACTTCTTTTCCTTGAAGCTATTACAATATATCTGGTAGTCTGGGGAATGGCAGCTGGATGCTCTCCTCTTGGCACCTAATGCAAATATTGGCCTTTAATGAGACTGACTCCTTACCTCTCCCCCAAACAAGCACTCTCGGTGGAGCAGGGAATGGAAATTAAATACTAAGGAGGATCTGTGGATGTTGGTGACAGATCTGTGAGAAAAGCAGCTCCCGAGGCTGTTTGTTTGCCCAGCGTGGGCACGCAGCAAGCTCTCTGCCAGGCTGGTGTGGACGCTGCAGCACTCGTGTTGTGTTTTCTGTCAGGCAGCCCTTGCTGAATTGCTGCGCTTGACCGGGACTGGGGTGCCTTCAGACACGACTGCATGTCAAAAAAAAATCTCCGTTTTCAAAGGCAAAATAAATGCTGAGAGTTTTGTTGGAGCCATCTGGGCTTTTTTAGCGTCCTGTTGGATGGGCCTGGCCATCGGGTAGAGATGGACATATGTATAGCCTATACACAGAGACGGTATCAGTGCTAGTCCAGACAGTTTGCTGCTGTGATGGATATTCTGGCCTCGTCCTTGGTAGCACAGTGAAGGGCAGCAATGCCGTCACCAGCGGGTGAGGGTCCCAACTGCTTGGGGGGACCATGTTTATTTGCCTCCACAAAGCCTGTTGGACAATAGATGTTGTTTTGCCATTTATCCATTTAAAAAAAAACAACCTTGGAAAACGTTCAGAATTTAAAGGCGCATTCAGAACTTTAGGTTGAGATGATGATTGCTTGAGGACTGCTTCCCTGGTTTTAATTTGGCTTCTTTTTTTGGGGGGGATGTTGGGTTTGTTTTTTTGTTTTATTGGTTTTTAGTAGGTAGACCTCAGTTTCCTATTTGGTGGAAATGTTCTTGCATTTTCTTGCGGCTCCTTTCCCCTGCAGTTATTCCCTGTTTACCACCTCCTGTGATCAAGAACGGGCAGGTCACTGATGGGGACAGAGACTTCACCTTTGGCATGGCTGTAACCTACAGCTGCAACAAGGGGTTTTCTCTTATTGGAGATGCCACGATTCACTGCATGACGGATGACAACCTCAACGGAGTGTGGAGTAGTCCAGCCCCTGAATGCAAAGGTAGCTGCTTTCTTTCTCTCCTTATTCTTTTGACTTTGTTTCTCATTCCTCTCCCGATCTGTACTTGCCTGATGGGCTGCCAAATGTGAGGAGGTTGATTTGAGTCTAAAAGGATTCCTGGAAAGCTTAATGCAGTGGCCACCCAAGTCATGGTCAGAGGCAGGGCTTGGTTTAATGGATTCTTCAGCCCACAGAAAGCATCCCTCTCCCTGCCCATGCCCAGGGCTTCCTGCAAATGAAAAACGAAGCTCTCGCATGTGCAGTTCCTTAATGACGTGTCTGTTCGTGTACTTGCACCCCACTGGGGACCTGCCTCTCTCAGAGTGATAAGAACAGCAGTTCTCTTTGTAAGCTTCTTGTGTAACACCTCTGGTGTTGCTGCAGGGGTTTTGCTTCTTGTAATAAAAATTCTTATTGTCTTATCTTCACTTCCAGTGGTCAGATGTAAAAATCCAGAAGTGAAAAATGGGAAAAAGTTATCTGGCTTTGGCACTGAGCACACGTATAAAAATTCAGTGACTTTTGAGTGTAAACCTGGTTATTTATTGAATGGTAGTAATGTAGTTACTTGTGAAGCAGAAAACACCTGGAAGCCACCTCTGCCAACATGTGACCCAAGTGAGTACCAACAGTTATTTCCTTGAGCAATTGCAATGAAGTAGGTCTAAGGGCTGTTGAGTAGGTCCGCTTCCAAACCTTGTGTGCTTGTCACCGTGCCCTTGCAGAGCACGCTGGCTTCGGTCCTCAGCGTGACAGCCCAGGCCAGCTAAGCATTTAGGCTTGAAGCTATTTATTTGTGAGCAGCAAATGATCCAGAAGTGCACTGACAGGAGAGGTGAAATTGCCTGCTACACCTGAGAGGCTTCACCAACTGCCAGACCTGCTGGGGCTGTTTGGCTTCTGAGCTCAGCTGAACTGGGGTCCTGCAGGTTGGGTTGGCGGTCAGTGAAGGAGCATCTCTGAGGCAGAGATACCCAATCTCCATCCTTCCTCCCGTGAAGCAAACTGTGATATATGCTGCTGTTTGTTGAATCGGTTGGATGCAAACTGTAACCCAGATACTGACGTTAAAACAGTTAAATGTTTTGGGCTCCAAAACATGCAGTGGGTTAGTGCTATTGCAGACCCCTTGGGTTCTCTTCTGTAACTAACCTTGCTTTTGTCTCCAATTTTCAGTCTTCTGTGGTCCTGCCCCACACTTCCCTTTCGCTGAGTTAACAAGCACCGTGGGTAACAGCTCTCTTGCTGAAACTAAGCTGAGCTATCGGTGTAAACCGGGTTATACTGCAGCAAGTGGGAAGACCTCTGTTGTCACTTGTCTGATTGATAAAACCTGGTCTGCAGACCCAGACTTCTGTATACGTGAGTATCTCTGTTCCCCTCCTGTCCTGACTGTGCAAGTGATCTGTAAACGCTTGAGATGTTACTCTGAAATTCGAGTCTCTGGGTTTGAAGCCATTTCCGTGGTGCTTGCTTTTCCTCCAGGACAGCAATGTACTCCTCCCACGATAGCGAACGGGGACGTGATTGCGGACAATTTCCTGTTTGAGACAGTTGTGACGTTCACCTGTCATCCTGGGTGAGTGGATCACTGCTGAAAAGGGACCAGCTCAGGGGCCAGAAGACAGGGATCACAGGCAGGAACATCCACACACACCCCCAGTTTCCCAGTGCAAGTCTTCAGTGAAATTGTATATTCTGTCTTCAGTGAGATGAGCATGTGGCAACACGTGTGTGCTTGGTAATGCAGTGAACTGCTTCAGTTCAGCTCTTAGCAGTGCCCTTATTTAGGGGCTTTGATGTGGCCAGATCCCGTTTCACAGAAGGGGCAACTTCTGGTTAATAACTCGCCCGCATGCAGTGGTGGGGAGGCAGGGAAAGAACCCATTCTGGGTTTCCTGGGAAGTACTAAACTTCTCTTTCTTTAGGTATGAATTAAAGGAGTCATCTTCTGCCAAATGTGTGGTATCAGGAAATGGAGTTGATTGGGATACAGCACCTCCGTACTGTGAAAGTAAGAGGGGAAAAACCCTGCACAGAGCCGCTGAGATAGTAGTTGGAATTGCGTTGGTGTGGCTGCCTTGCTGGTGGGCTTGGGCTGCTCTTACTTGTGCTTCTTAATTCAATCAACTGTAAAATTCAGGATTTCAATACTAACTCATGCTGTGAGGTCTTAGGTGTGATATTCTCATCCAATTCAGAAATTATGCTGGCAAAGTGGAAGGAGCAAGGGAAAAGCAGAAATTATAGGAAAAAAAGAAGTCACAGGAGGAAAGTTTTCTTTCTCTAGTTACCAGGGAAAGATGTAAATAATTGGATGTTAGAACTCTGTCCACTCAGTTTGGTATAATGCTGAAATCAGGTGTTACGAAGTCAGCGTATTGTGCTATGTGAAGCTAGAAGTGGCTGAAACATTTCTTCTAGCCTGATTAGACACTTCAGTGGCTTATTTCATGGGATGAGATCCTGGAGTTGAGGCTAACAGACCAGTAACTGAGGCCCAGTACCAAGTAAGAAAGCTCAAAGTCTTTTCAGTTGCTGCGAGATGCGTGGCATTGGGCTGTACCACCTCCTCCCCACACAGCTCCTCACCTTTTCGGTTAGGAGAAGTACTCACACTCTTGCTGATGTTCCTTCTGTAGGAGAGCTCCCTGACATTCTCTGTGAAGAGCCCCCCACGATTGACAATGGGATGCACAACGGCACAAAGGGCAGAGACTTTGGCCACGGCTCTGTTGTAGTCTATAAATGCAGCGATGGCTTCAGCCTTGTTGGGGCAGCCCTTCTTCAGTGTGTTGCAGGAGATCAGTATGGGGGTGTCTGGAGCAAGCCTGCTCCTGAATGCAGAGGTGACTATCCCCTGTGTCTGTCTTGCTGCCTTCTCTCTGTCTTCAAAATACCTATTTTTTTCCTTCCTTTGTGAATCCTCAAATCGGGTAAGTCTGCTACAGAGTAAGCCTTTGATGCTTCCTGAAGCAGCTTCAGCTAAAATCTAATGCCAAAAGAACACAATTAGGTTGTGGCATGGACTTGCAGGCTAGTGGGATGTATCCTGGTAAATACATCTGGGTTTTAACAGGGAAACATCTGTGGCTTTGGGCTGTGCGGGGGTCCTGTCTTGTTGCCTGAATTGTCTTCCGTATGCGTTGGCTCCAACTTGAGATACTGCATGTTGTGTAGTTTGATGAATTGCTGTGCTGAATGGGTGCTGAGTCTCACGTTTTGGCTCGCTTCCTTTCCAGGTGGAGCGAACATGATCATTGTTGGTAAGTAATACATATTCCTGAACCCCTGCACTGTGCTCTTGCTTATCTTTATGTCATTGTCTCCTGTGTGTTCCTCTTGAAATAGGCTTAAAAGCCGCCTGCTACAGTCTGTTGTTGCTGTATTTACATGCCCGTTGTTGCTGTATTTACGTGCCGGTTGTTGCTGTATTTACGTGCTGGTTGTTGCTGTATTTACGTGCCCATTGTTGCTGCATTTACGTGCCCGTTGTTGTTGCTGCATTTACATGCCTGTTGTTGCTGCATTTACATGCCTGTTGTTGCTGCATTTACATGCCTGTTGTTGCTGCATTTACATGTCTGTTGCTTTAAGATCATGCTGTGAAAAGAGGGAGAAGGTAAAGGGGAGCAGGGTGGGAAAAGATAGTTGAGTATGTTTGGAGTGAAGACTGAAGCTCCTTATTTGTCTCTTGTAGGAATCTTCCCCCTCCTCCTGGCGATGCTGATTATGAACGTCTAGATGAGGGAACGGGCACAGCGGGGAAGGGGTCTGTAGACTTAATCACGCTGATCCCAGCGCCCTGCTTTTCCCTCCTGTGAAATTGGCCTTGAAGCAGCGACCAGCAGACCTCGGCCGGCGAGGCCCCGCTGCCCCGTGTCGCTGCCCGGGAAGCGCTCGCGCTTTTGGGCGCGGGGCTGGGGGGATCTCTGCCACCCAGCTGCGAATGCCCTTCGGAAATGGAGTGCGGTTATCCCCCGGCGAAGTCGCAATGATGCCAAAGACCTTCCCGCTGCAATAGAGTCGGCTCAAGAAAACCCTGCACTTTGGGTAGCTCCGCATGCTCAGTTTCTCAGCCCTGCTAAGTTCATGTTGTGCCTGGTCCTAACCAAGATTCAGGGATTTCTTAAGTGTCCTGAGGTAGGAAGTGCTGCTGCTGCCGAGAGGATTAACAGCGAATGTCTTCACGTGAGTGATGAATATCTAAAAAAATTATTTGATACAAATGAGTATAATTGGTCAGTACTAAAAGCACTGAAAATGTTCATATAAAAGGACAGTTGCAGCCGTTACTTCAAGGCAAGACTGTGCAAACAGCAATCCTTACAGATCATTAATTTTACCAGAGAGAAAAAAATATAAATGTCATATTACAGAGAACTACTATTCTGACTCTTCCTGTATGTACTAAAATTACTTTTAAACTTCAGCTGAAGGTCTCCGCCCCGCCACTGTCTTTGTATCACGTCGAGGCTTTTCCGCAGGTACCTTGCAGGAAACACCCTTCTCGTCTCTGCAGTGACTCAGTGCTTCTCCTGAAGTGCTGAAGCTTTCGGTGAGCTGCGAGCCCCGGGGGATCGCAGCTGGGTGGGCGCTCGTGGGCAGCGGAGCTTGTCCGTAGGCAGGTGGTGTCCGGGCCGAATGCAGAACCCGCAGGTGTTGCGGCAGATGCCACCAGTCCTCAGAAAGTGGCTGCGTGTGAACTTTTTCACTTTCTGCTGGGATGCCGCCTGCCTGGGGCGACGCCGAAGCAGGGAATCGCCGTCTGACTTTGCACCTAAAAGGCGTTTTCAGGTGGTGCTGTGCACCCCGACCGTGCTGGCTCCTGCCACGGGTTGGCCAGGTGCCAGCTCAGCCCCGGGGCGCCTCGGGGCCGCTGTGATTCTGGGGAGAGAACACAGGTTTTTGGCTTCTTGCTCCGCTCGCTGCAGGGCTGGTGAGCAGCTGCACGGCGCGACTGTTGCTCTGACGCTGCGCCCGAAGTAGGCAGGGAGGCACATCAAGGCAAAGCCTTAATTCACTCCTCCGTGGGGAACAGGACGCAAACCCCACGTCTTGTGTGCTTTGTTTTCGTCCTGTCTGACCTGACCTAGTTGCCCACTGTGGTGAGGATGGATTGCGAGGGCGGGTAGAGGTGAGCAAGGAATCGTGCTGTCCCCAACTTGAGCCAGGCTTTGGCAGTGCCACGAGGACAGCTCGGGTGATGGGACCTCACTCGCCTTGTTTAAACCAAAGGCGCGGGCAAAAGTGCCCTTGATTTGTTTGGCTGATAGAAAGCCCATGTTGTGATGTTGGTGTTGGCTCCCCGATCACTTAATAAGCAAAAGAGGTTTGTAGCATCTCGTAAAATGAAGTAAAGATTTGAAGGTTTCGTGGGAATCCTGCTTAGAAGGGAAACAAAACTGTGATGGGATTTAAACTTGTTAAGCCTGAATCCAGATTGAGACACTAGGACTTTCAGCTGCTGGTAAAGCAAGGTTTTGACGTTTCGGGTTTTGTCTGATGCAGAGGTGAATCACCCATCTGTGAGCTTCTCATGATGTGCCTTGGGAATGGGAAGTATTCAAAATGTGTCTACTATATACTTTTTGTTTCTGCGTTTTCATCAGTGCTTTCCTGTTAACAGGAACATGCATCTAATTAGAGGGAAAACCACAAATATGCATTTCCATCAACACATTAGTCTTGTTCCGAATAGACCCGCAAAGTTCTCCCTTCCCAGCAGAGCACTGCCCTGTTCAGCTGTCCCTGGGGTACCACGAGATACTGTTTTCGGAAGCCAGTCTTGCAAAACAAGCACTTGGAGTTTGCTGGTTATTTTTATGTATCTCTTACCATAAGCAATGTGAGTGACTAGAACAAAACACAAATGTAAAGCCCTGTAGTTTGGTGCTGTGTTCTGATTTGTTATTTTAATCCCAGCACAATTACTCCTACTGCATAGTCCAGAGTGGTTTTTCCAAATGATTTAAGACCTGATTTAGCAATCAGCTTGAAAACAATCTCCCTGCAACCAAACTGTGAATGCTGTGACGGAGCTTACGGGTGTTTGTAATTGAGTTGTACATAATTTTACCTTGTAATCTGAGTGTAACCTATCAAGTGCAATTATGAAGTATAAATGTTGGATATGTAAATATTGGAAGCTCGTTGTCAATAAAACAGATAAAAAGACTCGAGTAATGCATGTCTTGCTGTTTGTTTTAGGCTCAGAAAGCATCTTCTGCTATGTGAGGTGGGGAGCTGGAGGTTGCTGCGGCTGCTCCTACATCAGAGAGTTCTGTCTGGATTTTCGGTCCTCCAGCCAGGAGCGAGGGATGGCACCAGCTTGGATGAGTCCTAGAGCAGCCAGGGTTGGGTCGGGAGGAGTCGGGTCCGTGGCTGCTGGGCTGTGCATTGCACCCGCTGGCCCGAGCACCCCCGGCCCTGAGGGACAGCTCTGTCCCCAGCTGCCACCACGTGCCTGGGTGGAGGGGATGTCCCATTCTGCCCTTCCCCTGCGTGGGCAGGCAAGCCGGGCCAGTTCCTGGGAAGGGCTGTGTCACCGTCTGGGGACTTGGGGCAGCACCCGGGCCCCTTCCCCACCTGAGGATGCTCTCCACCGAGGGCACGGTTTGGCTAACGGCACCTCTGTGCCTGCACCCCGCCTCCTCTCTCAGATGCCGCGGGTCCCAGGGGCATGTGCTCCCCTGCCAAAAATAGCAGCAGAAGCGGCGTGTGGGACCTGCAGCCTGCCCGGGGGTGGTGGCTGCGCCCACCCTGGGCCGCGGAGCCCGCGGGTTCCTGTCCCACAGCCCCGGGAAGCCCCACAGCTGCGGCTCCTTCCGCATGCGGGGGGCGGTGGGGGGAACTGGGGTGCCTATATCTTCCCACGGCCCCCCAGCAGGCGCAGTTGGCGCTGGGGACCGGAGCATGGTGCTCGCCTTTGCCCTCTGCCTCCTGGGCAGCTCCGCTCTACTCCTGGCCGCCGCGGCTGGGGCTCAAGGTAAGGAGGACCAGCAGGTCCGTGCCTCTGGGGCCTTCCTCTCATGGCCCTCCTCTTCCTCATCTCTGCTCCTCTCCTCGCTGATCCTTTTGCTTTTCCCTGCGGAGGCAGATAGGAGCTCTGTGCTGGTCCCAGGCAGACCTTGGCACGGCAGACCCTGAGCATCACAGAGCCTCTGAACTCCTCCACTAATGAAAAGACCCTCTGGGGTAGCACGGGGGCCACCCTGTGCCCTTCAGCAGCCAGGGGAAAGGGAGCTACAACCTCGTACCAGGAGGCTATGGAGAGTCTTTCACAACTTGCCCAGCTTCTTGTAAAAAGGGGCTTGACGCTCGTGTTTAAACAGCCAAAGTAAAGCTGGTTATGGGTACGGCATCTTACAGCAGTGAGACGAGGCACGTGTTCCAATAATAGATTGTGTTTGAGTTCTGTCAAGCTGAAACTTCCTGTGATAAACAGGAATGTGTTGAGAAGAGGCAGGGGAGTAAAATGTCAAAAAAGACTGTGCTGTTTGGCATGTTCAGTCTGAAAGCCTGCAGGGCATGAAAGCCTGGCGCGTAGCCCGAGGTGCCCTCTTGTTTGGGACAGCATAGTCAAAACCTACAGAAACTTGGCTCCAGCACTGCAGTATGGCTTTCTTTACCTCCTCCCGTCCTGTAAGCATAGGTGCTGTGACCTGGCTGCCCTGGCAAGGTTTAAAAAGTGATTAGTACTGTATGGAGAAGGCTTCTGTCTATGCTCTCAATCATGTTAATTATTCACCGGCATCTTGAGAGACCAAAGGCTGATCCTCCTGCTTTAGAGGCTGTGGTGGCTCAGTGGAGGGCTGGGGCTCAAGCATCAGTGGCTGCAAAGGGTTGGGTTATGTTTTTTAAAAAAAAAAAAATAAAAAATTAAAAAGGAGTATCACTAAGTATATGCTTTGCAAAACGGTAAGTCGTATTTTCTTCTGTTATATGTGGTTTTCTATATACTCAGCTGACATATGTGCATTCAGTTTGCCAGCCTTGCAGAAGTAGCTGTCATTGCTCACGTGTGCTGTGTGATGCTGGAGGGCTGTGGTTTTCCAGCAAAGCCAAGCTCAGAGCTCGGGGATGGCGCGACAGAGACAGGCTGCACCTGAATACCTCAGAGGCACAGAGCTGTGGCCTTCTACTTAGTAACCTAAACGATATTACCTGCAAGAGGTGTTTCTTTTACCTTTTTCTACATCCCCATATCTAGTGCAAATATTTGCCTACTGGACAAAAAGCTATTTCCCTGTGGTTTTAGTTGTGAATGTCGGCCTGCCTGCCCGCCTCCCTGTGTGTCTGCTGCTCCGTCTTTGTCCCTGCAAAGCACCCCCACGCACCCCCGGGAGCACACCAGCAGCTTCACGGGTGGCTCCCTTGGAAGGTGCAGCAGAGGCATTGCATGGCACCCCCCAGCCCACGCTGGGCACCCCCTGCCTGGCTGCCCTGGTAGCACAGACCCAGTTAGGTCGGTCCTGCTTGGTCCTGCCAACGTTTCCCTGTGTCAGACCAGACCCAGAGGATGTGCTTCCCAGCCCGTGGGTTAGAAGCACCGCAGAAAGGCCGTGAAAGGTTCTTGCCCTCACGAGGCGACTGATGTGAAATCCTCGGCGCCCAGTTCTTGCCAGGGGAGGAAGCAGCCGGGTCCCCCAGCAGCGCAGGGAGGAATCCTGCAGCCCCGGGGGCGCCCGGCCCCGCTGCAGCCCCCGCCACATCCCGCTGCTCAGGGGGCACCAGGCTGCACGGACACCATCAACGCGGCAACCAGCACGGCCTGGCACACCTTGAGAGCTGTGCAGGTGAACGACGTTTTATTTCTCTCCCTTTTCCAGCTAGCTATTGCCCGTACCCGTGGATCCGATATGGGAGGAGAGTATCCACCACTCGCTATTTCTACAGGACCGGGGACACCGTAAGCTTCGTGTGCCACGCCGGGTACACCTTGCACGGCTCCCGCACGAGCACGTGCCGAGCTGACTCCAGATGGAGCCCACCCCTGCCAGCGTGCAAAAAAGGCGGGTGTCCCAGTGCGCGGGGCAAGTGGTGGCAGCCACCGGGGGAAAGCTCACTCTTGTGTCTTCTCAAATTCTGTGGGAAAGCAAAGCTGGGATGCATCTGTCCTCCTCGCTTCTCTTCTAAGGAAAACGCTGCCAGCTTGGGGAGACAGCTACAGCTCAGAAGAAATGAGCTGGGGTGGGACATGGGGATGGCTGCAGCCTGTGCTGTCTTGGGCTCCATTAAGGATGGGGAGAACCTAACCCTGGGGCTGCCTGGCACGCTGAGGAGCCACAGGCCAGCTGGGGGATGGCAAGATCTGCTGCCCCAGGGGGATTTCTGTGGCTGCTTCTGCTCAGATGTGGGACATTTTCATCTGCCGCTTAGAATGGGAAGTAAGCACAACTTCTTGCTCTTACTGCTTCTACGTCCATGTGCATCTTCTGACAAATCACGTGATGAGCCTATGACTTCTGTCAGGACTGTCATTATTATTATTAGTGATTTCCACTGTCTGAAATGTGATTGTAATCTTAGTGCTGCTGTACCTTTTGTTAACTAATACTTTGGACCAGCAAATGGAACAAAGACTAAGCACAATTCAGGATATTACCCTGATATTACCCAAACAGTTCTAGTAGCATACAAAATGGCTAACAGCTGACCCACAGGGCAATTTCTTTTCCCTCTCCAGAGGTAACATGTCCTCGGCCACCAAACATTGCCAATGGGCTACACAGCGGACAGTCCATGGACAAGTTTCACCTTGGAGTGACCGTGTACTACGGCTGCAAGGATGGCTACGAGCTGATTGGGAACGTGTCCATCAACTGCACGGAGAGCAGGATGTGGAGCAAGCCCGTGCCCCGCTGCGAAGGTGGGTGGGTGCTCCATTGCTGGGTGTGGGGCTGAGGGAAAGGATGCTGGATGTCCCGTAGGAACAGCACAGACAGGCTGACGGCGGTGATGAGAAGGGAGGGGGCTGTGCGTGCAGGATCTGGCCCATGCACTGACCTTTAAAGGATGCTGTCCTCGTTCCCTGCAGCCATCGGCTGTGTGACACCCGAGGTGCAGAACGGGAAGGTCCATGGGCTGCAAAGCTCCTACAAAGCTGGAGAGACTCTTCACTTTGACTGCGATGCCGGTTACGCTGCAGAGAACAGATATGAGACCCAGTGCCAGCCCGGGGGGACCTGGGATCCTCCAGTGCTCCTCTGCGAGAGGGGTGAGTGTGGGTGCTCGCTGCTCCCCCGTGGGCAGCTCTGCCTGGTGAGTGCTCCCTGCAGGCAGGAGCAGCGTGTGCAGGCAGAGCCGTTCCTGCGATGGGCTTTACCCCATCCGGCAACGCAGCATCACGCCGGCTCCCTTCCCCTTGCTCCCTGTCCTCTCGCTGAGTTAAGACTTTCTGTCTCCCTCTCGCAGTCCGGCCATGCCCCATGCCTCCGCAGATCGCCAATGGACACCACAACAGCCAGGACAAAGCAAATTTTACCATGGGAATGTTTGTAACATACACCTGCGATCCTGGCTACCACCTTGTGGGAAATGCCGCTGTGTTTTGCAGAGTGTCGGGGAACTGGAGCCAGCCCGGCCCTCGCTGTGAAGGTGCGTCTGTGTGTGTCCCCTCGGGGGAGAAGCTCGTAGTGTGGGTCTGAGCACAGGGGAGACCCTGGCTGTTGTCACTGTGTTCTTCAGTGGGGGACTGAATTCCCCTTTAATGAATTATCCAGTTTTATAATATGTGAAGAAAAAGCTTACATCCGTAAATCCAGAGCTAAGTCTTTCTAGAACTGCGGCTGCATGTGCCGTACGTCTGCACTGGGGCTGGGTGCTGGCGATCCCGCAGTGTCTGTCCAGGAACTGGCCCATCACTTCTTAATGTGAGAGCAAGTGCAAAGTGGTCTCCAGAGCCAGCACCCTCCTCCCAGTGCTCCCACGGCAGCACACCCACGGAGAGCTGGCTGGTGACGGCGCGGGGACCAGGCGGGGCGGGGCTGCGACACGGCCTTTGGGGCGAGACTGGATGGATTTTTATGCATCAATTCAACCCTCTTTGTCCAGAAAAGTCAGAGGAGAGATGGGGCACCCAAAGACTGGCTGTCAGGACAGACCTGGCAGTAACTGGGCTACGAGCCCTCTGTCCTCTTCCTTTGCCTTCCCCCGTGTCTGATGTGGAGGTGTCAGTTGACGTGTCTCTTGGGCATCACCTCTCCCAGATGCTCTCATGGGTTTTTCCCCTCCCTCTCCAGAGGTGATGTGTCCTCAGCCAGCAAATATTGCCAACGGGCTGCACAGCGGACAGTCCTTGGACAAGTTTTCCCGGGGAGTGACCGTGTACTACAGCTGCAAGGATGGCTACGAGCTGATTGGGAACGTGTCCATCAACTGCACGGAGGCTGGGGTGTGGAGCAAGCCCGTGCCCCGCTGCGAAGGTGGGTGGGTGCTCCATTGCTGGGTGGGGGGCTGAGGGAAAGGATGCTGGATGTCCCGTAGGAACAGCACAGACAGGCTGACGGCGGTGATGAGAAGGGAGGGGGCTGTGCGTGCAGGATCTGGCCCATGCACTGACCTTTAAAGGATGCTGTCCTCGTTCCCTGCAGCCATCGGCTGTGTGACACCCGAGGTGCAGAACGGGAAGGTCCATGGGCTGCAAAGCTCCTACAAAGCTGGAGAGACTCTTCACTTTGACTGCGATGCCGGTTACGCTGCAGAGAACAGATATGAGACCCAGTGCCAGCCCGGGGGGACCTGGGATCCTCCAGTGCTCCTCTGCGAGAGGGGTGAGTGTGGGTGCCCGCTGCTCCCCCGTGGGCAGCTCTGCCTGGTGAGTGCTCCCTGCAGGCAGGAGCAGCGTGTGCAGGCAGAGCCGTTCCTGCGATGGGCTTTACCCCATCCGGCAACGCAGCATCACGCTGGCTCCCTTCCCCTTGCTCCCTGTCCTCTCGCTGAGTTAAGACTTTCTGTCTCCCTCTCGCAGTCCGGCCATGCCCCATGCCTCCGCAGATCGCCAATGGACACCACAACAGCCAGGACAAAGCATTTTTCACCATGGGAATGTTTGTAACATACACCTGTGATCCTGGCTACTACCTTGTGGGAAATGCCGCTGTGTTTTGCAGAGTGTCGGGGAACTGGAGCCAGCCCGGCCCTCGCTGTGAAGGTGCGTCTGTGTGTGTCCCCTCGGGGGAGAAGCTCGTAGTGTGGGTCTGAGCACAGGGGAGACCCTGACCATTGCAACCAGATCCTCAGAGAAGGTTAATCCCATGTCAAGTGTTGCATGGTATAAATTAATTTCAAGCCCTTCTATTGTGAAGGTGGGGCTGGGGAGGTTTATGTGGATGTCATGTTGATTTTTTTGTTGCAATATTAACAGCCTGTGGTTTTTTTGTTTTGTTTTGTTCCGACTCCTTTGGCACATCATCATTTCCAGTGACTGTCTGCATAAATCCGTATATAGCGAATGGAAGGCAAGTTGAAGCTCAAGGACTTATCTCCGCACCTGGGGAAATGGTGACATTTCAGTGCCATGATGGTTACAGCCTGCAAGGTAGTGCTCAAGTCTTCTGCCAGGAGGATGGCAGCTGGGACCCTCCTGTCCCCGTCTGTGAGAGACTGCACCATTACCAGGAGCTCCTAAACAGTCCTGAACTTCCAGGTAAACCGTGACGTAGCTGCCTTACCCCATTTTAAAAATGAGGTTAAACCCCGTGAGTGGAAGATTTAAGTATATCCTGAGAATAAGAATCTGATCCTTTGGAATCCTTTGGGAAAACATGTTCTGTTTGTTTAATAATGGCTATATTAATCAAGATAAACAATTTTGCAAGGCAAACCAAACACCTTTCCTCATAACTGTTCTTTCTGTGCTTGCACCCGGCATGCCTGTCCTGCCTGATTCTCATCTCTGTTTTCTTTCTCAATAGGTGGTTGTGGTGCTCCTACAAGGTTACACTTTGCTGAGCTAAATGAGGAGCATAAAAATGAGATTGATTTTTCTGTTGGGAAGACTGTGCAATACACTTGCCGACCTGGATATGCTAAACGCCCAGGAATGTCACCTACTATTACATGCCTTGAGAGCGGAGTGTGGTCAGAAGCACTAGAGTTCTGTAAAAGTGAATAGCTCCTTGATTTGGTGTCCGTTGTTGAAGAAGGAATAGGAATAGGTTCTGTCCATGCTGCAAAAACCTTAACGTTATTCTGGTGTTCAAATAGTATGTGACTAGTAAAGCCATGTAACTTTTTGCTTTTCGAAACCCGTTTGGGGGGTAACTGGAAATGTGGGCAGATTAGTGGAGTAGTAGCTGCATCTGTTGCACCATGGTATAGGTAGACAGAAGCCTAAAATGAGGGTTTTTTCTCCCTCAGGAAAACAATGCAATCATCCTGGTGAACCTGTGAATGGGAAAATTATTTTCCTAACAGATCTCCTGTTTGGGTCAACAGTGGTCTACGGCTGTGAAGAAGGGTAAGTCCTGGGTTTGGCTACTGCTTAAAACAGCAAGGAGAGATGTATTAGGTAAGTCTCCCTTTTTTCCTCCTATTCATTCACTCCCGATAAATGGATTCTATCCAGAAGTCAATGTATAGAGTTCTGTACCTATATAAGACATAAGGTGTCTGCTATCTTAGGTATACACGTATATACTGTGACATTGGCCAGGCAGAGCTAGGAAGGGAGCTTCTCCCTGAGGGCCCCAGCTTTGCTGTCAGCAGGGCTGACCACATGCCTGGGGTGGCTGGGGGGAGGCAGTAACTCCAACTGAAACGGCTTGGGCTGAATGTTCAACCCTTTGAACACCAGGCACAGGTTAATCGGACGATCCAGCAGACGATGTGAGATTTCTGGTGGACGTGTTGCATGGAGTGGCAACGTTCCCATTTGTCAGCGTAAGTAGTTTACAGCTCCAGGGGTTTGCATGGATTAGGTAAATATTTTCCAGCAGAGACTGCCAAATCTTTCCAATCAAAGCTTTCACAGGGAATTTCTCTGCTCTGTGAGCATGAAAAATATCAGAAGGTTTTAATGTCACAAGAAAATGTTCTGGAAAAGATACAAGACATCAAAGCTTAAAGGAGCATAGAAAGCAATGTCTCAGCTGGAGCTTTCTCAGCAGCACTTTGTATCCTGCCTCTGATTATTGCAAGCCCATTACAAGCAAGGAAAATATCTTCAGCTGAAGGGCTGTTATTGTTAGACACAGTGAGACAAAGGCTCAACCCTAAGGAGTGGCAGAACACTGTGGGAGGACCAGAAGGGGAATCCCAAAGTCCCAAGCCACGGGCTCTCACTGCGAGCAGACGTAACGTGTGTACCCAAAGAAGTGTCATGCTGCACCTCAGCAATTACACTTGGGTGTTTCTCTGCTGATTAAGTAGTGTTGCTAATTAGGTGACAGTTTCATATGAAGAAAGAGACATGTACAGGTACATTCTGGGATTTAAAAGCATTTTACAGGTTCTCCAGGCACATATTAACCTAAGGTGACATAGAGATTGCTGCCTGTGCATGTCTTTGCACTGCGTGAGGGTGACAAAAATCACGATTTTACACAGTCGACATAAAATAAATATTTCATGGAATCCTAGAATGGTTTGGGTTGGAAGGGACCTTAAAGACCCCCAGTGCCACCCCCTGCCCCGGGCAGGGCCCCCTTCCCCCAGCCCAGGGGGCTCCCAGCCCCGTCCAACCTGGCCTTGAACCCTTCCAGGGAGGGGGCACCCACAGCTGCTCTGGGCACCCTGGGCCAGCGCCTCACCCCCCGCACAGGGAACAATTTCTTCCTTCTATCTAATCTAAATCTGCCCTCTGTCAGTTTAAAGCCATTACCCCTTATCCTATCACTACCTGCCCTTGTAAAAAAGTCCCCCCCCACCTTTCTTGCCCCCCCTTTAAGCCCTGGGAGGCTGCTCGAAGGGCTCCCCGGAGCCTTCTCTTCTCCAGGCTGAACCCCCCCAACTCCCTCAGCCCGGCCCCCCAGGGGAGCTGCTCCAGCCCCCCCAGCATCTCCGTGGCCTCCTCTGGCCCCGCTCGAGCAGCTCCGGGTCCTTCTGCTGTTGGGGGTCCCCGAGCTGGCCCCAGCACTGCAGGGGGGTCTCCCCAGAGCGGAGCAGAGGGGGACAATCCCCTCCCTTGACCAGCTAGCCACCCTTCTTTTGATTTAGCTTTTTTATTTCTTGAAGAGTAGAAAAGATAAAGCACGTAGGTGTTTCCTCCACAGAGGTTTGATTTACTGGTCTAACTGTCATAGAAATTGCTGGCCAGGGAGATGGGATGCGGTTGCCTACAAGGCCTCACCTAGAAGGTCACTTCATTGCAGTTAGTCCATCTCCAGGACAAGTGTTTATGCCCCACAGACTGAGGGATTTCAAGTACCTTGGTGCTGCTGTTGAATTTAGAAGTCTTGTTCTGCACCTTTGTAGGTATCCCTTGTGAGCCGCCTCCGGACATTCCCAATGGGAAGCACACGGGCAGGCTGCTGGATGAATTCCACTTCGGGACGTCTGTAACATACACCTGCAACCCCGGGTACCCGCTCCACGGAGAGCCCTCCATCCACTGCACCACCTGGGACGGGAAAAACGGCGTGTGGAGCGGGCCCCCGCCGCGGTGCGGAGGTAGGGTTGTGTGTGCATGTGCAAATACTCGAGTGCAAGCCTCCCAGCCCTACTGCTTCGTATCTGGAAAGACCAGGAAACCTCCAGACCACTGCACTTCTTGCCCGAGTGCCTGCTAGGGCAGGATTTGCCCAGGCTGGTTTTACAGCTGAGGCCAGGCAGGGGGGAGGAGGCTGGGGGACCGGTACCCACTGCCTCCAGCACCCCCAGCCTCACCTTTCAGGTGGGGTCTCTCGATGTTTGACATCGCTGGATGTGGGCAGTACATCCTCATGGGAAAATTATTCTCAGGCTCGTGTCTTAAAGGGATTGCAACTCTAAGTGGCTTCCCAGCTGCACAGCTCTGCATGCTGCGTGTCTGTTTTGAGGGCCAGCACTTTTTTTCCAGAGGCAAGATGTCCTGTCCCACGGGTCCAGAATGGGAAAATTGTTTCTCCTAAGAATGCCTACACGCACAAGGACACCATTGCCGTTGAGTGTGAGCCAGGCTATGTTCTACATGGCCACAGAGTGGTACAATGCCAACTAAATAACACCTGGGAGCCCCCCGTGCCAGCCTGCGAGCAAGGCAAGTGTTCAAACAGTGCTTTGAACATTAACCTTCCCCCTGCTCTCCCAAATCTGCTTTTTCCTGATGCCTTTAACAACCGGGCTGGCTCATCTTTCTCGGTAGCTGGTTGCAGTGCACCTGCTAGACTGGCGTTTGCCGAGCTGAAGGAGCCGTACAACAACCAGACCGTCTTCCCCGTGGGGAGGATGGTGGAATACGTGTGCCGGCCTGGGTACGCCCGGCACCTGGGGATGCCGCTGGCCATTACGTGCCTCAGGAATCGGACGTGGTCTGCGGCGCCGGAGTTCTGTAAAAGTACGTCCTGCGAGTGCTGATAGACCCAGAGTGTCAGGCTTGGCTGGATTTTCACGTTTTTCTAGCTTTATGGGTTTCTTTACTTTATGCAGCCTGCTCTCTGTGTTGGCATCCCTGGCTGGGATGCGAGCGGGCAGCTGAGGGCTAACGGTGGCCGGCATTCCCTCCTAGGGAAGCAGTGTCCTAACCCAGGGGATCTGGAGAACGGCAGAGCTGTTGTCCTGACAGACCTCCTCTTCGGGTCCAAAGTTAATTACACTTGTGACAAAGGGTGAGTCTTGCAACGAGCTGAATTCAGCTGCCAAGTGAGAGTGGAGTTTCATCTTTACATGAAGGAACCTAGCTCCCAAGTCAGAAGTCTTGGCTGCCACTTACAAAGGTTGTAAAGAAACCTCAAGTCTCTTAATGTAAATTAATAAATTCTTCTGTATGACTCCAGGTACAAGTTGGTTGGAGGTTCTCAGAGAACATGCGAGGTCTCTGGCGCACGTGTCTCGTGGAGTGGAGATGCTCCTGTCTGCCAGCGTAAGTAGGCCACAACAAAAGGTCCTTGGAGATGGCATGCGAGAGAAAGTGGCACATCTTTCAAGACAAAGATTTTATTGCAAAAGATTTCTCAAGTCACTGTATGTGTAAAATCGTTCACTTTTTGTTTTGTTTTGGTTTGGATGATTCTGAAAATGTTTACAAAGGTCTTTTATTAATCCTGGTCCAAACTGGGAGAACCATCAATATTTTAACCCCCCTGTTACTGGGGTAAGTTTTTCTCACTGGTCATGTGTAGGAATGGTGTGGCCAGTCCCTCTCAGCATGTGTCAACAGTGGTTATGGAACGGGAGGTAGGAATTGTCCCATCGCATCCAGACATGGGCAGCACAGAAGTGACTCACAGGAGGCTTTCACGTTTTCCTTCCTACGTGTGATTTTTTCCACGCAGGGTTTGTCTCTGAACAATTTGGGTCATTGTATCCAGAAAGCGTCACTGCTGAGATGGGTTCGTCCCCATCGGTTCCCTTCCTGGGAAGCGTGAGCGTCCTGCAGACCCCGGGCGCTGCTGCTAAAAGCCACCTTGTACGTGCCCACAGGCATCGTCTGCGATCCGCCGCCGGACATCCCCCACGGGAGACACAGCGGGCTCTTGACGGTCACCTTCTCCTACGCGGACGTGGTCACCTACACCTGCGAGCCCGGGCACTCGCTGGTTGGAGAGCCTTCCATCTTCTGCACCACGGTGGACGGGGAGCACGGCGTGTGGAGCGGGCCGCTGCCGCAGTGCGGAGGTAAAGCTGAGCGTGCGGCCGTCCCCGCCGGCGAGAGTCGGCTGGGAGCGGCAGAAGGAATGGCCGTGGCTGCGGTGGGGCTGCACCCACTGATAGGAAGAGAGCTAACATGACAGATATTTATGCAAAAAAGTCAATGAAATTCATTGTCGTCTTCTTTGGTTTCTGAAGGTCGGATTTTTAATTTTTTTTTTTTTTTTTTTTCCTTGCCCTGCCCGTATTTCTTATCTGCCTTTCCTCCTCCTTCGCAGAGGTGAAGTGTCCTCCCCCTCCAGGCATCGCCAACGGGAATCACAGCGGCCAGCCCTCGGACAGCCACCTCCCAGGCTCGGCTGTGCAGTACAGCTGCAGGGACGGCTACTCCCTCATTGGGAACGCCTCCATTAGCTGTACCGCCGAGGGAACGTGGAGCCGGCCCCGGCCCCGATGTGAAGGTGTGTTTGTGGTGGCTTCTTTTCTCTTTCCTCGGGCCCCCTCTTCCTTCTTGGCTCTCAGTCTAATTGCTGTAGACCAAATCTCCAGCAAGAGGCAGGGATCAAAGGTCCCATGGGCAGGAGGAGCTCCATCTGGATTTCCCTTTCTGTCCCCCAGTAAGGACAGACTCTCAGGAGCAGTTGAATAATGTTATTTTGTGTAAGAATAAGAGTTGATAGTGTTAACATGCCCATGACCGCGATGGCAAGGTTCAGCAGCAGATACTGCCCCCGGTCAGTGTCCCTCTCCAGGATGGGCTTCATGTCCCCAGCGGTGCCTTGGGCTCTTCCCTTCCAGCAAACGGCTGCGAAAGACCAGAGATTGAGAATGGAAGAACAACACAGCTGGAGACCATGTACAGACTCGCAGACGTCGTTGTCTTTGAATGTGATTTTGGTTACGCCTTGAAGGGCTCTCAAGAGTCTCAGTGCCAGTTTGGGGGCACGTGGGACCCTCCTATCCCCATCTGCGAAAAGAGTAAGTGTAAATGAGGCGGTGGGTGGTAGTTGATTTCTCCTGAGCCACTGTGTGAATACACCTGGCTGGGTGCAACCGCCTCGCATCGGAGGTCGGGGGGCCACTCTCCAGGACTCGAAAGGAAAAACACGCACCTATCTGTCCTCCCATCTTCATTATCCCTGTTCAGAACCTTGTTATTAGGGCTTTCATCTCTTTAAGTGAATCCACAAAGAGGCAGCGAGCCAGGCTGGTGTCTGAACTTGTGCACAACCACAGAAAGGCCAGAGCAAGCTGTTAGGGGCACAGATGGAAACTAACCACTGTAAATGCCTAAACAGTGATAAGCAATCATTCTTGATGTCAATAAGCTCAAAAAACATGAAGGCTGGAAAATAACTGAGGGTAGGATGGAAAGATAATTCAAACAGAGCAAGCCCTAGCTATTTGGGAAAAGTTAATGGGAAGAAAAGAAGTTAAAAGGCTGCCTTACACTATAGTGGGTATTTGTGGTACCAGCTCTTCACCAGTTATGATTTTTTTCCCCTCCCTGTAGTGTTACGGTGTCCTTCCCCTCCAAACATCAAAAATGGCCATCATGAGAGCAAGGATGTGAAAGTGTTCATCCCTGGAACATCAGTGAAGTACTACTGTGAGCCGGGCTACGTCCTCACTGGGAAAATAACAGTTTCTTGTTTGACATCTGGAACCTGGAGCATCCCTTACCCGCGGTGTGAAGGTGAGCTGTGAATGCTGAAACCCATAGTGAAAAAGGAGACCATTGTGGTCGCATGGCTCCCCTGAATTTTGACCACACAAAACCAAAAGGGCAACCCCCAGCTCTGGCAGCCCCTTCCCCAGCCCATGCTCTGCTGCTTTTCACTCCCAGTGATCACCTGCACAAGCCCCGACATCCCGAATGGAGAAGTGGCTGAAGGACAGAGCGCTGTGTACCATCCCGGGGCCAACGTCACCTTCCAGTGCCACCCGGGCCACGCGCTGTGGGGCAGCCGTGAAGCCAAGTGCCAGCCTGACGGCCGCTGGGTGCCCGCTGTCCCCTCCTGCGAGCCAGGTGAGCGCAGGCACATCGGGGTTCAGGACGAGGGTGTTTAGGGCCACCCTTGTGCCGGAGGGGCCCTGAGGTCCTGCTCTCTGCCTCACTCGCATCGCTTCAGGTGCGACAGACTTTTGTCGCCTTAGGTGTGCGCCGATGTTGGGGAAAATCACTAAAATGCCGTTCTCTGTCCCTGCCCTGGCAGCGCTGCCCTGTCCTCCCCCTCCCGTCATCGCCAACGCCACGCACAGCGCGGAGCTCGGGGCGAACTTCACCAGCGGCATGTCCGTGAGCTACAGCTGCCAGCCCGGCTTCTCCCTCCTTGGAGCCCCCTCTGTCTTGTGCACGGCCTCGGGGAACTGGAGCCTCCCGTACCCACGCTGCGCAGGTGGGGCTGGCTGCCACCGCAGCTCCCTGGGCACCCATGGCCAGCCAAGCATCCGTCCTGTGCCGGGCTGGTCCCGGGGCGGGCAAACCCGCCAGCCTTCAGAACTGCTGTGGGGAGCAGGGGAACGGCACGTCCAGCGACGCCCAGGGCTCAAAGCGTGCTTCCAGCATGTGCAGGACGCTGTGTTCATTTTGGGGGCTTTGTGCATGTCCCCTTCCTGCATGTTACCCTGTCCGTGCCCTTTTTTAATTCTGTTTCGTCCTCTTTCTTTAGTGCTGCAATGCCCTTCACCTCCAAGTATTGACAAAGGAAAGCACAACAGCCAGGGCTCGGAGGTTTTCACTCCTGGGATGGCCGTTAATTACAGCTGTGACCCTGGCTACAGCCTCCTGGGAGAGGCAGCGATATACTGCACCGACTCTGGAAACTGGAGCCTCCCTCTTCCTCAGTGTGCAGGTATACTGGTGTTCCAAGATGGGAGTTATGGATAGTCTGGGAATTTCTGCCACTGAAAGCCTGTAGGACTTGTCCTTTCCCTTGCTCCTTCCAAAATTTTGAATCCTTCAGTCCTTCCCCTTTGTTTTTAGTTTTGCTTGTAGACTTTTATCTGTGCATATTTGATACACCTTTTAAAACAACTGTAGCTGATATCCCTATTTCTCCCTGTGTTTTCTTTCCTGATAGGTGGCTGTGGTGCACCTCCAAACTTAACCTTTGCTGAGCTAACTAAAGAATACAAAAATCTGACAGAGTTTGCTGTTGGGGACACCGTGCGATACAGCTGCCAGCCGGGATACGTGAGACAGCCCGGAGCATCCCCAGCTCTGACATGCCTCAAAAACCACACGTGGTCTGAAGCGCTAGCGTTCTGTAAAAGTGAATAGCTCAATTAGTTTGGTGTTGATTGTTGAAAATTGTCTAAGCTATATTTGTGGGTTTCTTAAAGCAATTTTTAAAAAATTACATGGCTTCACTAGTCACATAGTTTGGGCAGCTATTGGCCTTTTAAAAATCATGGTTTTACTGGTGTCTGAATGTGGACAGATCCTTAAGATAACTTCTCATAGTGCATTACAAAACTGCAAGCAAGGAGGTTAAACTCAGCCTTGTTCTTTCCCAGGGAAGCAATGTAAATATCCAGAAACACCAAAGAACGGCAGAGTTGTTGTTCTGACAGATCTCCTTTTTGGGTCAACTGTGAGCCACACGTGTGAAGAAGGGTGAGTCCCACGCTGCTTTTTGCTGACTCCATTTCCCGGAGCTCAGTGTTTGGCAACTTACAATAAAGGCTCAGTGCCCACCCCTCTGCGCAGCCATTCTCCCACAATAAGACAGAATTTATATTTTGGTTCCAGTTGTGTCATAGTTGCCTGCTCAGGAAAGGGGAAGGCGTCTCTCATTTTTCCCTGCCTGTGCTCAATAGATAACTTTGCAAACTTGAGTTTCAGTCTGCCTTCTCAGACGGCCACCCAGCAGGAGCTGAGCGTGGAAGTGTGCACGTCCTGCAAGGAGGCTTCAACGGTTTGGAAATCACTTGGGTCTGAGTCCTGATTTAGAATCTGACCAATTTAACCCAGAGTAAATTGGGATCACTGCCATTCCTCTTGGATCCGGGAAGAAGGAACTTGGTGTCCTTCATTCCCATGTGTCAAACAACAGAAACACCTCGGAGACCAGCCGAATCAGTAGAAGGAACCCTCTGGGGGTCAAAGTGGGAGTGCAAAACCCAAGCTGAATGACTTGGTATCAACTGGTATTTCTTTCTCTGTAACTCCAGACACCGACTGGTTGGACAGTCTCACAGGCGATGTGAGATTTTTGGGCCAGATGTCGCATGGAGTGGTGTTCTTCCCATTTGTCAGAGTAAGTAGGTCACCACTAGATCTGATCCAGAATTGTCAAATTAGGGCCTTAAAATTAAAAAGTTACATTTTCTTAAGATAAATAGAGCCTTGAGGTTTAAGACTTTTTAAGCATAATATTCCTCTACAATAGTTTTGTTTTGCTTGCTCGTTTGGTTCCTTCTAAAAATCTTCCAGATGCTAACTTTTGATCTTTCATAGTTACATAGACTGAAGAGTCGTGAGATGCCTGCAGGGATTTGCCCCTTTTGCTTCAAAAACATAAATAATAAATTAAGGAAGTTATGTATCTTGCAGTAGAAGAGTGGGATATTGAGTAAACTTGAACTGGGATCTTCCAAATACTGTACTGTTATCCGAACCACAAGGCTGTTTTGCAGGGGTTGATCTTTGCAATTAGTCTTTCCTTCAGATGGAATTGCTTTGGAAGGCAGGAGCTCGGTATAGCAGAGCAGTCATGAGAATGACTAACAGCGCTTATGGATTTCTACGCTATTTAATATATTATTGGAATGTATTTGCGTTATTCTGTTTATAGGCACAAAAATACATTTATATATACAATAATTTGCTAACCCTAGGGTACCTAAAGGAACTAAACGCCCTCCAAGCACTACCTGTGAAATTCCCCTGAGCAGTGGCATGTTAAGGATGGACTTTATATATGCATCAATTACAGCATACCTATGGCTCCCTCTTTGAGATAATGAATTTATTTTTCAGAGGTGGTATGTCCAGTCCCACAGATCCAGAATGGGAAAGTATCTGTTCTTAAATATCGCTACACATACAAAGACACCGTAAGCTTTAAGTGCCATAAAGGTTTCACCTTGCGAGGCCCTCACACAGCCCAGTGCCAAGCTGATAATTCATGGGACCCACCCGTACCGGTGTGCGAGCGGGGTAAGTGGCAGCACTCCGACCTCTTAGCACTGCTCGTTCCTCCCCGATGGCTCCTACTCACTCGCTGAAGCCAAAGCTGGCTTTATTCTCCCCCTTTGCTCCAACCACTTTAAGGAGAAACCAGAAATTGTTCCTTTTATTTATGCCTCTCTTCTCACACAGATGAGCCAGGTTTTGGCTGTAAGTATAAGCATGATTTGCACTTCTTTCACCCTGCTTGTTGCAATCCATAATCCATTCTCCTAATTTCCTGAAAGTGAGACATTTGGTAGCTTCAGGGCAGGACACTGACTATCAGAGAGGAGTGACATTTTTGCTGGAAATGTAAAGTCAAGATGATGGAAAATGAAGGAAAATTTGTGCATTGTATTCCTCGATCAAATGTGTATTTTAAACTCTTGATGCTTCATCTAGATGGAGTGGCAGAACACTATCATCATCCTGATACCAAATCAAAGCCAGGTAGGCCTATTACAAGAAGAGGCAAGACTTACTAAACATTAACTCCTCCCAACCTTTCCTGCTTTTTGCAGGGAAGAGGGGTAACTGCACTTTCTCTTTCATTATCATGTTTTTTACAACTGAACATCACTTCTCACCCTCTCCCTCTCCTCTTTCAGGAGCGAAGTGTCTGCCTCCTCCAAGCATTGCTAACGGGGAACGCAGCAGTCATTTGTCAGACACTTTTGATGTAGGAGCACGTGTGCGCTACCGCTGCAAACACGGCTTCTCCCTCATTGGGAACAAGTCTGTTCATTGTACAACGCATGGAGTCTGGAGCCATCCCCCTCCTCGGTGTGAAGGTGCGTTTGTGCTCTTTTCACTGCATCTTCTCTAAATTTCTAAATGCGTTAAACATGTAGTGATATTTGCCTAAGGACTGGCTGAAACTGGCTGTTGCTTCGTCAAACTTCACAACTAAAGAAATAAGGTCTCTGTGGCCAGGAATGAAGTCTCTGTGGATTCTGTAGCCTCTATCCCGCACAACTTTCGCAGTCTAAAGGGTTCTCTATATCCTCGCTGTCCACAGTTGGATGTGTGAGCCCAAGAGTTTGGAACAGAAAAGCACTCATTGGATTGGAGCCCCTGGAGACATCATTACAATTGATCACAGCACTGCTAATGTCCCCAAAGACCTCCACAAGTCACAGTGCCAGCCTGGGGGGCACATGGGATCCTCTACTCTTTGCCTGTGAAAGAGGAAAGAATGTGTTATCTGTCCTTGGATGGCTATCCTTTTTGACCTTATCGCTCTAGGTGGTATGTTGTAACGTATTTAGGAGGCAAGAGGAATCTGGAGTCCTATGTTCAGATCTGAGGATCCATCTATCTTAATTTTTCCCAATCTCGTTGCTGCACTGTCTGGTGCCTCAGTTTCTCAGTATGAACGCCTTAAAAATGAGCTTAGGCCAGTTTTGCCAGCCATAAAGAACCTGTATGGAAGTTGTAAGAAGATGATCTTGAAAGTGTGGAATTCCCATTATATACGTGAACTAATCACACTTCTTACCTGATATACCAGGAAAGATGATGCTGGGCAATGTTCCTTTGTGTAAGAAGAAACATGTGTGATGCCATATGCTTTATAGATGATTTGGGGTGAAGTGAGAGCAGAGGGTTGGGCAGGGCTGGCTCTGTGTATTGGATCCAGTGCTGTGAGAATGAGTGTACAGCTGTCCATCGGTGCTCAAAAGTTTCCCCTCTCACCAATTTGATCTTTGTTTTGATCTGCACTTCTCTCTTTCGAGTGCTGCACTGTTCCAAGCCTGCAGATATCACCCACGGGTCTCTCAGTGGCCCGGCAAAAGCGTTTTTCACTCCTGAGACATCTATAAGCTACATCTGTGAGCCCAGCTTCTCTCTCATTGGGACAGCATCCATTTATTGCGCAGTCTGGAGCCTGGAGCCATCCTCCTCCAGTCTGTCAAGGTGTGTTTTTGCTGCAGAGAGCTAAGAAGAAAAACCATTTAACATGACTTGTCTTAGGGAAAGGTTTGTATAAGGACTAAATCTGAGTCCTTTACTATAGAATGTGTGATAAGAGCAAGATCAAGTTTATAGCCGTTTCCAAAGCTTGATGGAGTTACAGGGTTATAAAATCAGTTGTTGAGCCTGGATGAAGAAATTAAAAGGGAACACTCAAGGCTGTGAAGGTACGGTGCCTTAGCTACTCTCTGGCAGTCCATCAGGATTCCCATGTCAACACTGTTGTTTGTCTCTCCCCGATTTCCCAGCTGTGAAGTGTCTCCATCCTCCAACAGTCACCAACGGGAAGCTCAAAGGCAACATCTCTGACACTTTTTCCTATGGAGCATCTGTATCCTACAGCTGCAATCCAGGCTATTCCCTCGTTGGGAATGGTCTCATCAACTGCACGGTGTCAGGAACCTGGAGCCAGCCTCCTCCTCGGTGCCAAGGTGCTTAGTTTGCTCATGTTGTTTGGAATTTGTGGTGGCAGAACCAGAGCTGGGCTGAGGAGACATGCAGCCATGCTGATATATATGTTTTAATGCGGGAAGAAATTAAATCTTCAGAGAGATACATGGGCCAAAATCTAAGGAGTAAAATCTTCTGCAGCTAACACTAAATTCCGTCCCCTTATTTTGCTTGGGAGTCACTTTTATATCATAGCTAGGCAGTTTTGATCTGCTAATTATGAATTTATCTATTCTGTTATCCCTGGGAAGAGTATGATATTGTAAAGAAGCAGGATGGGACTCTCATGCTAAGAGTCAAAAGGATATGAATACAACAGAGGCAATTCTGAAGGGCGGTTTTAATTCTCGCATGTTTTCCATCTCTGCTTTTGCTGCTACAAATGAGCTGTATACCCATTTTCCTCCATTAAAAGGTTTTTACTTTTAGCAGAAGAGTAGAAACTTTTCCCCTTCCCTTTCCTTCCCTTTTCATGTCTCTCACTCCCCAGTTATCACTAACAGGTAACATGATTATATCAGAGAAGTTGTCACTGATGGATGGTTTGTAGATTACATATGAGCCTGACTATTCCCTCTTCCTATAGAGGAAAATGTCTCTTTATCTGTGACTTGGCACTCCTGTGCAGCTCAGTGTTTTGGGGTCAGTCGTCAGGAAAACTTGACTAAAGGCAATTTCATGAATGTCACAAGATTCCTAGTGGGGGTGTTCCTGCATGGAAAGCTGGACACTCACAGGAATAAATTCATAACCCGCACAGGGTGCTCTCTTGGTGGAGTTGCACCCACCTCTGTGACTCAAGAATTAAAACGCGCTTGGATAACAATGAGAGGAAATAACATACTATTACGTTATTTATGTAAATAAGTCAGAGGCTCTTTAAAGGAAGCAGTCCCACAGAAAAATTCTCTGCCATTCTGCATTCTCATGGTTTTGAAGTGTCCTTAGTAACTATTATGCACGGTAGTAAAAATAAATATAAAAAAAGACATAAAACAAAGGGTGAAAGTTATATGTTGACATTGCCCCTCCGGTCTCCACTGACAACCTTCCCCTCCAGATTTCTTAGGCGTGGATTGTCAAAGGTAATTAGATGCTTAAATTGAAGCTACTAACTCACTTCATTGAAATCAGTGGTATAAATACCTTAGATGGTTGGACTAATTAATAAATTAATTATTGATAAATAATATAGCTGGTGACATCTTCGAAGGGCAAGGGACTTCTATAGACTAGAAATGGGTTATAGGCATTTGGTTCTAAAGCTCCCACAGAATTCTTCCCTGCTACACCTTTCTTCTCCAAATGTTTTGGTAGCCCAGTATCAGAAAAATCCCCTCTGGCAGGCTTCTCCCAAGGCACCCCTACTACACAAGATTTTCTACCTGCCATAGCAGTGTGGAGTAGCTGATCCATACAAATATTCACATGTGGGAGTGAGACACCTACCCTCTTTTGCAGCCACAAAGAAAGGAATTATCCTGTGGAATAAGTATTAATTCCTGGTTACATTAGAAAGAATTCAAGAACAATGTCTTAAATAACCCACAGTTGTATTTCTTGTATTTTATGTTCCCTTTCATTAAATGTCCTTTTTTTTTAATTGTTGTTACTTCTAATTTCAGAGATCAGATGTGTATTCCCAGAAGTTCAAGGTGTTAAGAAAGCCATAAAAGGAAATACTTATCGCTCTGGGACTAAAATCACTCTTGAATGTGATGATGGTTACACGTTGGAAGGCATCAGTCAGATTCAGTGCCAAGAGGACTTCAACTGGGACCCTCCTGTACCAGCCTGTAAACTGAGTGAGTGAAATGTGAATGAAGCAACGATCACACCAAAACACGCATATGCATTTTAAACATGCAAATAGCTTTATGTATTAATAAATAAATACATATATAACAGTATGGTTTTTAAGAAATCCTGTACTGTAGGCCTTAGCAGTAAAACCTTTACTGATAAAGTGATTAACTACAGTTGAGAAACACCGTATTTTGTTTGAATAGTTTTCTGATTTTTCTTTTCCTCCTCCTTTCAGCATCACGCAAGTCTGGTTCAGTAGGCCTAGGTAAGCAGCTTAGAAACATTTTTCTGGCCAGGTCTTTAGCGTTATGCAGTGGCCTCAGTGGCACCGCTTCCCTCTGCTTACTGTGAAGATATGCCTCTTTATGTCTTTTGTGCTGATATGCTTTAAAACATAGTGAGAATAATATGTGCTCTTCTCTCTCAGGAGTGGCAGCTGCAGGAGTCCTGCTTCTCCTGGGGGCAGGCATTGTCTGGAAAATTGTTTCTAAGCAGAAGCAAGGGTAAGGCGGTCTTCCTGATGTTCATTCGTGTCCTTTGTTGCCCAGTCCCAAGTTTTATACACTTGAAATATTTGCTTGAGTATTCCTGGATCTTGTAATTTTGTATCTTCAACTCACGCCTGCAAACTGTACAAGGCACAGCACCCTGGAATCGATGGTATGGTTGTGTTATTTCAGGACCCTCTTCCTTAGGGGAAACCAACCTGACTTCTTTTACAAATCAATACAGTTCACTGTTTTCTTCTTTTTCACTTAGCTATTATCATACATATGAAAACTACAGTTACCAAACCGCTCTGAACCAGATCACAGAACAGAAATGTTCATGTCTTTCATAGAAGGTATGGATTTATATTCCTTAACATAAAACATCGGTTATAGCTGCAAACTGGAGTTGTTACAATATAGTCATTCCAGTAGAAAATTCTTTCCCCTCAATCTTCTGGTAAGATGCTTTCTTTTGCTGAATATAAGAGACTGTTTTAAACATACTGGTGGTTTTTTTTTTTTTAAACATACTATTCTCCTTTCTGACACCACCCTCAGTGTGTGTGTTTCCTTTTCCATAATCTGAATAGATGACATTCATGGGTCAGAGAAAAGGATGCCGAGCTGGGCCTTTAGGGTTTTTTGCTTGCTTTTACACTTACTGCAATGCCATTTTTACTTACAGTTGAATCTACTTTCTATGCTGAATCTATTGCAGATAACAATTAGTTTTCACTGCTAGCAGCACTCTGAACATAATCAGCTTTGACTACAAAATGGCACTTGTAAACATAAGCGCTTTTATTTATTTTTTTTTACAAAGCCTGATTTGAGGTAATCGTCCCTTTGAAACAATGCATTTCCCAGAAATTCTCTCCTCCCTCCCTGCTTTATGATGTAATCTATATAAATCAATGTGAAAACAGGAAAAGTCTAATTTTAACGCCAGGATGTCATCTTTTTTCCTAGGCTGGGCACCCGTGATGCCGCTAACTAAGCATTCCACTCATTCTCCCTACAGAGGGCGGCTGCAGGTTGCACAAAAGGGTTGCTCAGGTTGAGACTGAGATTCTGTGGCGAAAAAGGCACGTTTCCTGTGGAATCAACATTAGTACTCCTTCTGCTCTCAATAATTAATGTAAGGATCTAACGAAGTTCAAACTGCACACAGAATGGGTGCTGTTTCAGAAGGACTTCTATATACTGCTGCTGATAAAGAACACTTCCTTTCTCTATTTGCACACCCTGCGATAAGCAAGATCCATGAAAGCATTCCCACGCATGTGTGGAAGTCACAATTTGTTAAACCAAAGATTGTCTTAATAGCAACTGTATTTACAACTGCAGCAGACGCTGCTCGGTATTTTCCTCCAGGAGCACTTACTTGAGTGTTCCTCTACGAATGCTTCGCCTAATAAAAGCCGAACATGGGACGATAATCGCTTTAGGTTTCGTCTCTCCTTTCGCGTCTAAGGTTACAGGTCGTTTTTATTATTTTTAATACTGCTCGGCAGCTCACGCGGTTTGCCTTCCTGCGGAGTTCGTGCGGGGCTGGCACACAGGCGCCTTTATTTTTAATCAGCCTTTTTTGGCGTTCGGCAGCGGCTCAGCTGAACAAGCTTTGAGGCATTTCCTCTTCGCCGGAGGCGCGGGCAGCTCGCCGCGCAGCCCGCGCAGGAAAGGCCGCAGTTTCCTCAGGGAGAGGCAGGCCTGCCCTCCGAGCGGGAGGAACACAAGGCCCCACAGTCGCCACGTAACGGCCCCGCCGCCGCCGTCCCGCCCTTCCCTCCAGGCGGAACTGCCCCCGCCATGGCGGCGGCTGCGCTGAGGGGGGGAGGCGGGCCGCGCAGCGCGCATGCGCCCCAGCCCGGCGCTGCGTCTCCGCCGTTGCCGGAGCGAGGGGCGCGGAGGGGCCGGGGCCGCCGCGGGGATGGGGCCGCCTGCCCGCGGCCTGGAGCTGCTGCTGCTGCCGCTGGTGCTGCCGTGGCTCGGCGGGGCGCGGGCTCAGGGTGAGGAGCGGAGGGTCGCTCCCCTCCTCTTCCCCGACCCGCCATGGCGGGGGGAGCGGCCGGGCCGGGGCGCGGGGGGGCGAGCTGAGGGGGCTGGTGGGGCACGCCGAACCCCCGCGGTCTCCCGGCCCGGAGAGCTGCCGGGCGGAGGGCGGGAGCTCGTCCTCCTCTCTCCTTTCCCGGGGGTGCTGCCGGGCTGAGGGGGGGCCCCCCGGGCCGCTGGGCGAGGCGGTGGGGAGCGGGGAAGGAAGTGGCTTTAGGCGGTGGCGTAAACAGCGGGCTTCCCGGGCGGCTTCGGTGGGGTTTGGGGCGGAAAGGTGAGAGAAAGGTTGCCTTGTAAAAACAGGCGCGCTGGGTTTGGTGCTCGTGGATGCTGGTTCTGACCCTGCGTCTAGGGTTTAAATTTCGTTTCTGGTTTGGTAAATCTCTCTACAGTAGCATAAGCAGGCTGGAAATTAATAGGTATCGTCAGAGGGGCGACAGTCTCTGTCGTGTGTAAGTCCTGCGGAGGCTGGGCGGATCTTACTTTTGTATCTGGATCGCAAGGTCTTGAATTTGTTTTTCAGGCACCTCTAGCACGGGGGAGTTTTACATCGTTAACCGCACCTCAAAATGTCCCAGGTCTGTTGGACTGTGGAGCTGGTTTTCAGCCCCCCCTTTAAGATCTGCCTGGCCTTTTGTCTTAGGAGGGCAAATTAACGGTGTGAGTGTGGTTGGTTGGTTTGTGACTCCTGCAGTGAGCTAAATCAGCATTTTGCTGCAGATTGAGTATACAGTGAATCAAGTCATGTATTAAACGACAAGAATAAGGCAAACAGGCAAACAATAGGGACTGGAAGGAAATGCATTGTCTGGCTAGAATGCTAAAGAAGAACTTGAGAAAACAAACAAGCAAGCTGTACTAGTGTAGAGTTGGATGTGGGATTCATTTAAACTGTAAATTAAAAAATTGAAACCCAGCTAAATATGCAGGTAGCGCTGTCTCTTAAGAATGTCACCTCTGAATTACCGATGGGTCTTTAAAACCTACTGAATTAGCCTGGCTTCTATGCCATTATGCCCTAACTTGTATCTCTTCTTGTTGACAAGATTGATTATTGCTTTTTCTTTCCTCTGACAGACACGTGTATGCCTCCAGATCGGCTGCAATATGCAGAGCTCAAGGAGAGTTTTAGCACAATGAAGAGCTTTCCTGTTGGAACCACGGTGTCGTACATCTGCCGGCCAGGCTATATAGGAATTCCTGGAAAATCATCAGCTCGTACATGTGGTGAAGATTTACAGTGGTCACCCATAGAGCAGTTCTGTACAGGTAATGTGCATGAGCTCTTTTGATTTTTCCCTTGGAATTTTAACAACTTTAGTTGTTTTTCAAGTGAGAATTGGTGTTCTGTGATATTTTAAATGACGCTTGAAAAATGCTAATGACTGTAAGAGCGGTATATGCCAAAGACTTAGTCTTTGTATATATTTACAAAGATGTAGATTTTTTTTTTTCTTTCTGCTTCCCTCTAGAGAGAAAATGTAGCCATCCAGGAGAATTAGAACATGGTTTTATTAATGTGACAGATCTTACATTTGGTTCAAAAGCTACTTTTTCTTGTGAAATAGGGTAAGTATTTTGGTGAAGTTAATGAATCCTTTTAAAGTTCTTTTCTGTTTTGACTAGGTTTGAACCAAACCCAGGATATTTTATGCAGGTTCAATTCCAGCTCTGATGTGAAGTGTCTCCTGAATTCTACCTGGAGCAACTGAAATTAAATTTGATTTGATTCCCTGGTTTTACTTGCTGTTTGCATCAAAGAAGGCTTAAGCTTCTTAGTGAGATTCTGCAGACTGAAAACTAGAGTGTTATCTCTAATGACTTCTTTTAAAGCTCCCGAGTCAGAGGGAATAAATAAGTATTCATCACTCTTAATTACTGTATTGAATAATGGCCCACCTGTCTGTGTGTAGCAAGTTAAGTCAAACCCACTAACCTCTCGCAAGGTTTTTTTGTCCCTTTCCTTTTAGCAGCTTATTTCATTATTATCAATAACTTTAGGGCATTAGTATTAGAGGATACACATCTTAAAATGACAAGACTTCCATCAGTTCCTCTAGTGATGTCTCATTTGCTTCTCTTGTGTTCTCAAAATTGAGACTGTTAACAAAGTAATAAAAAAAAAATTAAGGTACCATTCTGTTTACAACAGAAACTTGGTATGTTGTGTCCCTGTAATCACGGAACAGAATTATTTAATAAAGGTTTCTATCTGTTATCTGAAGAAATGAGAGAATTCTTAGGTATCACCTCTCTAAATTTTTTTTTTTAACCTGTCTAGATTCAGATTACGTGGAACTGATGAAATTTCCTGTGTAATTAAGAACAAAGGTGTTGATTGGAATAGAGATCTTCCTTTATGTGAAAGTAAGTTAGTTACTACCATATTTAAGTTTATATTCAGGTGGTGGTAGTTCATTTTAAAACAGCTGTGCCAGAAACTTTCCAGTATAAGAAATGATGGTAAAATGGGACTGACTTTTTGAACTACTGGAGATGTGTCTGAGGAATGACCACTGAAAAATATCAGTTATTGTGATAATTAGTTCATATTAAAGTTAACCCCTTTTTGAAACTGAGACTCCCTGTAATAAATGACCATCGGAAACTCTTAGTTATAACTGTAGCTAGTCTTAGAAATAGCTATATATTAGATTTTAAATGAAATTGCTTGAAAGTCAAGACTCGATATTTCTGAGATGAACAAGGTAACATCAAAATTCTGTTGACTAATTTGTGTGATTTATTTCTAGGAATTCCTTGTGAACCACCTCCAAACATCGCCAATGGGCACTACACTCAAGCAGCTGACTATGTTTATCAAACCTCAGTAACCTATATGTGTGATGATGTACCAAAAGGCATGGATCCCTTCTCGCTGATTGGCCCAGCTACTATTTTCTGCACATCTGATGCACACTTAAATGGAGTTTGGAGTGAACCACCTCCACAATGTAGAGGTTGTTGAGATTTTTTTTAATACACTTATTTATTATAGCCTATGGGACTCCAAAAGTTCAGTATCCGTCCCTTTATGGAAGGGGTAGGAGGATGGGGGATGGACTTCCCTACCCTATAGAAAAGAAGAAACAGATCCTCTGGTACTAATTTTGGTATAGTTCCAGTAGAGATCAGATTAACCGCATTGTGGATATTGATTGATTGATTATGTCACAGAGTATAACTGAAATTTAAGTTAAAACTTTAAAAGTATATGTATGACCATGCCGTTGCTGGAAGTGACAAGGACAAAGTGAAGGAACTGAGAGACCATAAAACCTGGGTAGCTGAAAAAAATTATGTAAAGAGCAAGAGTGTGGAAGCTAGATTATGAATAGTAAAAAGGTAAGGAAGAACTATTTTTCTAAACACGGCAATTACGCAAGTACAGAAATAAATGCAAAGCCCAACTAGCACAGGAAGTCCTGCTTTGTAGATGTAGGGAGAAATACCAGATGCTTGCATATTTTCATTTGTACCTTAATCAAAGCAATTTTGCTTTCTGAAATTCTGCTACTGTACTGTCTTTTGGAAGTGAAATGTGATTATATCAATTATTACGATTTCTTATTTGACTGTATTGTTGCAACCCAATAGCTTAAAACAAAGGTCTTCTGCACCTTCAAGAGAATAACCTTTTAGAAAGCCCCTCCAAAACAGTTTGAGGAATTAGATAAGGAGACTTACAAGTAGTAAAAGGATGCTGTTTCTGTTGCAAAGATGCTGTTAACAAATGTTTCAGAGCTGTTTTTCTTTTGCCTTTTTCAGTGGTCAAATGTGATAACCCAAAAGTTGAAAATGGAAAAAAAACATTTGGATTTGGACCTTCCTATAGCTATAAGGACTCAGTCATGTTTGAGTGTGATCCAGGGTATTTCATGATTGGACTGGAGATAATTACCTGTGGAGAAAATAACACCTGGTCTCCTCAAAAACCAACCTGTGAAAAAAGTAAGCCCTTAAATAAGAATCCAACTTTACTTGTCTGTTGAGAATGTTATAAGTCTGAGCTAAAATTTAAAATCATAACACTGTAATTGGAAATCAGAAGCTGAGAAAGTTGACATGGAGCCCCATCTATGGGCAACCATTTTGGGTGTTCAAGTGACTCTTAGCTCCAAAGAGTTTTCAGATTAGAGTTGAGTTACAGACATGCATATAGAAGTTTTGACATGGACATGTTGTAATACCATCATGGTGTTTGCTCTAGTGATTTTATGCAAGTACAGGAAAAAAGATATGTTTCTGAATTCTGATAGAAAGAGCTAGGAGTATGCACAATGAGGAAACCTATAGTGTCCTCCTAGAGTAATTAAAATCATTATGTCTGTGTTCTCTTATGCAGCTCTTCAACTCTTACTTTCTCAGCATCTTGCGTGGTGTGTAG